AGGGACTGCCAGGTCCGGTGACGCACCAGTGGTCGCAGGGGCCGGTGTCGCGCCGCGGGGGGCGAGGGGCCCAGCTGGTAGTGCTGCTGCTGCGGCCAGTGCTCCCGGGTCCTCCAGGTCCCCACTGTGGCGGAGGGCCCCAGTGCTGCTGCGGACCCCACTGCAGTGGGGGTCCCCACGTCTGAAACTGCTGTGGTGCCTGCCACTGCTGCTGTCCCTGGTGCAGCTGCTGTCTCTGCTGTGGCTGCTGCTGCTGTGGCTGCTGCTGCTGGGGCCCCGCACCACCGCTGGTCGAACCTCCTCCAGCAGGTGGGTCAGCACCTCCTCCAGAGCTCCCTCCGCCTGGGGCAACACCGCCACCACTGCCGCCCCCAGGGCCGCCTCCACCACCGCCACCTCCTCCACCGCCGCCACCCCCCTTCCCCCCTTTCTTGCCCCCCTTGCCCCGTTTCTGCCTGTCAGCGGCAGAAACAGCTGCAGTGTCCTCAGAAACCGACACAGCAGCAGAGGCACGTGTAGCAGTGAAGGTAGGAAGCTGGGGGACAGCACACCCCTCAAACAAACGAGGGGCAACTGCGTCAGTGGCTGAGGCAACAGAGAGGAGGTTACTCTCGATCTTCCCGAGAGTGGTTTCGAGAAGATCAATCGTAAGCTCACTGGGGTGATGCTGGAGAAGTGCGTCACGGGCAGTGGAGAGGCGGTCAGGGAGACGAGTGACTACCCAGTGGACTGTGAGCCAAATAGGAGGAGGAGCAACAAGAAGCTGAGCCTCAGTGCAAGCTGCTCGGTAGCTAGCGACAAGGGAGCGCAAGTGTGTGGCTAGGTCAGAGACAGTCGCAAAAGAGCCGAGGTCGGGAAACACGAACGGCATGAGGATGCGGCTGAGGGAGGCAGAGGAAGGGGTGGAATAGCGTGCAGAAATAGCATCATACACCTCCTTCGCAGTCTCTACCAGGTCGAAGTGAGCGGCCTCAGTCGGTGGAAGGAGCTCGGTCAGCGCGAGTGCAGCCGCAGCGTCACGGGAGTCCCAAACGTCCCGCGCCAAGACGAGACGAGCGTAGTCCGCCTGTGCCTCCGGAGTCGGGGGGGGCACGGCAGGGAGGGGCTCGGGACGCGGTGGTGCCTGGAGGGCGCCGGACGCGTGGGCGTACAGGGTGGCGCCGTCCTGGCGCTGACTGGTGAGATAGCGCTGAGTCTGGCGGAGCCAGGTGCCGAACTCTATCGGGCGCCCCTCTGCATCGAAACGAAGGCGGCGGGAGGAGTCCATATTGGACGCTAGGCTAGGAACAGCTGGAACACGGAGCAAACGGAGCTAGGAGCGAGGAGCGCCAGGTGGGACTAGGCGAGGTACTGCTGGAGCACGGAGGAAAACTGAGCTAGGAACGCCAGTCTAGTAACGAACGGAGCTGGGAGTTAGCTGACCTAGGAGCACACGGCTGGAGGAGGCAGGGCTGACGAGCCGATCGAGGAGCCAGAGGGTCGTTCGAGGGGCTGGCGGAGCGAGGAGAGACCTAGCTAACAACGAACGTCAGGACTAGCCTAAACAGCTAAGCGGAGCGGCCTCCAACCGCGACGGTGCGAAACACTATGAGTATGAGTGACGCTAGTGTCGAACCAACGGAGGTCGGGTGGTCCTGGGTGGTGTGCGCGCGTGATAAGGGGATGTGAGCGTTTGGAAGGGGCTCTGAGCGGTTGGAAGGGGCTGTGAGCGGTTGGAAGGGGCTGTGAGCGGTTGGAACGAGCTGTGAGCGGTTGGAAGGGGCTGTGAGCGGTTGGAAGGGGCTGTGAGCGGTTGAAAGGGGCTGTGAGCGGGTGGGAGGGGCTAGCTGGCGCCAGCTGCTGGCGGCTAGGTTCCGGTGGCTAGCTGCTGCTGGCGGCTAGCTTCTGCCTAGCCGTGCTGCTGCTGCAGGAGCACGCGCTGCTGCCTAGCCGTGCTGCTGCTGTAATGCACACGTTGCTGCCTAGCCGTGCTGCTGCTGCAATGCATGTGCTGCTGCCTAGCCGTGCTGCTGCTGCAATGCACGCGCTGCTGCCTAGCCGTGCTGCTGCAGCAAAGCACGCGCTGCTGCTGCAATGCGCGTGCTGCAGTGGCGTGCGCGGCTGCCGCTGGCTAACGCGCGCGCTGCTGCGGGCTAAGAACGACTACGCGGGCCCGCGGGGGGGGGGGGGGGGGGAGAGTCCCTTCTGGAGCGCGACGAAACGAGGGGCCAGCGGGGCCCTGTAAACGCGACGAAAAACGAGGCCCGCGGGGGCCCTTAAACGCGACGAAAACGAGGCCCGCGGGGGCCGTCCTACCCGCGACGAAACGGGGCCTAAGGGACGGGCGCCTCGGGACCGGCTAAGGGAGGGAGCGGAAGCGTGGGAGGGAGTAAAAAACCTACTCTAATACCATCTTAAGATAGGCTAGGAGACAAGTGTCGAGAGTAATGTTTGAGTAAGGAGGGACAAGGAGATACAAATGTCGACCTAAAGTGTTGTACCCTTTAGAGGGCAACTCACAGTAGCCTATCTAACAATATATAGAATATATAAACATTTGACAAAAAGATACAGACGGATTTGAGCATCAGGAGGCTACCTAACTAGCAATGGCCCAACTGCAATCCTAGGTTGAGACCCCCAATGAGGTCTCAAGAACCAACACCAAGGTACGCAAAGTCAGCCAAGGAGGGTGGGGTGGGATCTGGTGGGGCGGAGGGTGTGTCAACACTGTAACGAATTTGTGTCCGACGGCAGATGGTTCGAGCCTGCTCACGCTGGTGCACCAAGGAAATCCTCTTGAAGTAGCTAGTCTCGAAGAGCTCTGGAATCAGGTCAGATGCACCACCCATGTCACGAAGTCGAGTCGCCCCTCGTCTGCTGCAGTCTTTGATGAAGCTGAGAAATCCCGTGCTGAAGCAACCGAAGGTTTCAAGAACGAGAGGAAGAAGCTTCACGTCTGGGCGGTTTTGTAAGGAAGATGCATACAGGGTCCGCTTCTCAGTTTCGCGAGCAGATGCAGCTGAGCCGATTACTGATGCAGTCTTGGAGTTTGGGGGACCATGCTGCGGGTCTGCAATTGAAACATCTAATGCCCACGTAGTCCCAGAGCTGATATCACGGCATCTGATGTCTGGGCGACGTCCTGAAAGAAGGTGGGAGTCCTCCAGCTGTACGACGTAACCAAGCTCGGACGTGATGCGATGAACCTCAAGCTTGATGGCGTCGTGGACCCTGGTAGGCTCGTTAGAGGATGGGCAGCGGAGGACGTGAGAGACGACTGAAGGGTCTGTGAATGCCGAGCCACAAGTGCATGTGCGGGTGGTCGTGAGGTGTGGAATGGGGAGGCCAAGACGAATAGCGGCTGCAATACACCACTCCGTAGGTGACAGCTGCATATGCGAAGAACATGGAGACACAGTAAGCCAATCGCCAGCATGGGGCCCTTGTAGGGAGGTTAAACGGGCCAAATGTTGGGGAGAGGTTACTGTGGATCGCACGCGCTCGAGCATGACAGCCTCCAAGTGCTGTGAAAGGTAGGAATATAGCTTCTGTGGATAGCCAGCGTGAAGTGCGGGCCAGGTAGGGAAGTGCTGCCGAATGGTAGGATGAAGTTTGGACATGGCTGTGGGAATGCATGGGTCAAGGCGGTCCATGGTGTCTGAAGCGATGAAGGGACGGAAAATAGGGGAGCCATGAATGGTGAAGCATGACGAGAGGAGTGAAACTGTCTGTGCCCAGCTGCACAGGTAACTGAGAGAAGCAGTTGCAGCTGAAGAACGGAGGCCGAACCCACCAAGGCGAATGGGAAGGAATGGCTGTCGGTGTGCTGTGGCAGTGTGGTCAAACGCAGGAGGCCAGTAGTCAGAGCCGATGAGGCGAACAAAGTGGTCCAGCAAGGTGTTGTCCCAGTCAGTGTGAAGCTCTTCTACCTCGGGAAATGGTGCAACTGTGCGGAGGAGGAATGAGGGACGGGCGGAAATGCAGAGAGTAAGGAGGCGAGAGGCAGTCTGTGGATCATGAAGGTCATGCAGGAGAGGCAGTGATGAAGAGAAAGAGTGGGATTCTAACCACTAAACTACACCGACATGCTACATAATAAAAGTGTTTTTATTATTAAATTTTACCAAGATCGAATTGTCAAACCATGTCGTTGTGGTGACGCTTCCTGCTTTTCTTCCGCCTGATCTGGTCCATCACCTCGCTGGGCAAGTTTCTCTCGTCTACCAGTAGCAACTGCATCTTAGTAGTTGACCTGCTAGCAGGTCTTCCTTCGGATGAATAACAGCCATGGGTATCACTGGCCTTCTTCCGTTGCTCAAGTCGGTGACGAGACGCACGCACATACGAGAATATGCTGGACGCAGGGTAGCCATTGACACGTATTCCTGGCTTCATCGCGCTTCATATTCTTGCAGTCAGGAGCTTTGTCAAGGCACGCCGTGTACGAGGTAGGCAATGCCAGATTGATTCAGTGAATTTCGCGATTTTCTGACAGTTTTTCTCGTGCAGTTCCGCAGCGCATTAAGGTTAAAATCGTCGTAATCCGGTTCTAGCCTGATCCTAGATGTTAAGAACCCCGAGGGTATACGAAGGAGAATTCGTAGACTATGAAACGTCGAAGTCGCTGGTTTCGTACGATAGGCCAGCAGCATTTTCTCGATCGTCCTTTTCTAGATTACGATCGCATTCTTACCGGCACGTTGCTTGATGAAATACACGTTGCTTACACTTGGGATCAGGGAGTGACAAGCATAGACATATGGTTCAGGCGGGGAGGGTAGCTCTTAGGGTTGATTTATCAGGGTTTGAGCGTTCAGGACGCTAAGTGGGTTTCGTCATTTGAGAGTCCTGTAACAGCGAAGCCGTCGCTTGAGGGTTTGGTGGCACTGATTTTTTTCCTCGATTTGGTCCTCATTTCAGGCGCATTCATTGCAAAATGCGTTCTCAGCATCGTAGTCTTTTTTGCTCCCTCGTCTTCTTCCCCCCTCTGTATTTCCGCCAGGCACATTCAATACTGCATGAACAAGGTCAAACTCCTGAGAGACAATGGCGTCATTCCCGTGCTCGTCTTCGACGGCGGAAAGCTTCCCTCGAAATCCCAGCAAGAATCCAAACGAGACAAGTATGTAGATAATGTCCCCCCCCTCGGACTGGAGTTACATCGAATCGAACCATGGTTCTGTTTATTCAGCAATTGCATGGACTTTAACTTCTTCGTACATTTTCGAGAATGATACATCCAAGACATTCGTTCATTTGCCTGCAATCTCCTCTGTATCACAAACTGCAATTCCAGGTTTCAGCGAACTTTCTTCCTATCACCAAATTTCTGCTTTTCTGTGTATTGTCTGTATTTTGCAGATCAAGGAGGGAGAACCTTGAACGAGCGGAGCAGCTGTTGCTGAAGGGCAAGCGTAGTGAAGCAAGGGAGTGCTTTCAGAAGGCTGTTGACATCACACCTGCCATCGCTCACCAGCTAATCAGGGTCTGGTCATCACCAGATTATTGATTTGTGGTTGATACCAGTCCTCCTTTACAATTTCCTGATGCTTTCACCATATATTTCGCAAACCATCCCTCCGCTCATTTTCCTGAATGTGTATTGGTTACATTGTTTGCAAAACGTCACTCTTTTTCTTTACCCTCCATTCTCAGGTGCTGAGGCAGGAGCACGTGGAGTACGTGGTGGCACCCTACGAAGCCGATGCACAGATGGCGTATCTCTGCACCAGCGGCCTCGTGCACGCAGTAATTACAGAGGACTCCGATCTCATCGCCTACTCCTGCCCGCGGGTCCTCTTCAAAATGGACCACATGGGGCACGGCGACGAGATCGTATACGCCAACATAGGCCAATCACAGGAGCTCGCTCTGGCGGATTTCATCCCGCAGATGGTCCTCGAGATGTGCATCCTCAGCGGCTGCGACTACCTCGACAGCCTTCCCAAAGTTGGCCTCAAAACAGCCCACGACTGGATCCGAAGGCACAGGAACTATCAGTCAGCGCTGGCTGTAGCGAAGCTGAATGGGCGGGTGGTGCCGGAGGAGTATGAGGGCGCGTTTGAGCAGGCGCTGCTGACGTTCCTGCACCACCGCGTGTACCATCTGGCGGATGAGCTCATGACTCATGTCAACCCGCTGCCTCCCACGCTTGGACCGGACACGGATCTGTCGTTTCTTGGACCATATCCTACTCAGCGTGCTTCGTGCCTGTCCTCACTTACTCCCATTCTTGCCCTGTTTTGCCCCTAAACATTCTAAAAACACATTCTTTTTCGTTTTGCTCTTTCATTTTGTTTCCAGCTCGCCAAGATGCTCGTTTCTCATGTGATAGTTTCCCCTTGACTGTATGCTTTCACTCTCTCCCGTGCTTCCTTTACTTCCCCTCTTCTCCCTATTTCGTTCTCTTCTCTTCCCTCCCTTCTTCCCCCACCATCCACTGTTCTTTCGTTCCACTTCAACAATCTCCACTGAGCTCGCTCCAAGCCTCGTCCGTGCGATTGCCCTCGGCTATGTGGATCCCATCACTTACGAGCCGTTTGATGTAAGGCCCATCACAAAAGAGCCGATCAATGTACGAACCATCGCATTAAAAGCTCTTTGATGTGATAACAACCGCGGATGAACCATTTGGGGTAAGATTCCGATGCACTGCACTTGTAAATGCTCCAAGTATGCGTTTTTTGTACTGATCTTGTGGGTTCTACACATGAGATAGGCTACTCAGGGTTTTTAGAACCGCCTTTTCCAAAAGGTTTTCTTTCCCTGCTCCACGGCTCTGTTTAGTAACCACTTGGTGCTGCATAGTAACCACCCGCCACCATGCTGTTTTGTCCTATTTTTTTACATGTTTTGCAGGCGGAACCCGTACCCAAGCCACTGCCACCAGCTCAGTCACCTCGACTGAGGCAACACACCCAGGCAGGCGCAGCAGCTTTTGCAGCAGCAGCCGGAGCGGCAGCAGTAGCAGCAGCAGCGACATCAGCACGAGGGGGACAAAGCGCGGCTACCAATGGCAGGCCTGGCAGTGGTGGGCCGGGGAGATCACCAATGCAGCTGCCAGTGCAGAAGAACAAGCTATCTAAATACTTTCGTGAGTGCTCCGGTCTGGTCTCATGAGTACTTGGTCCGGTGAGTGCTTTTGTCTGGTGAGTGCTTTGGTGCATGCGCTCAGCCGGTTCTATGCACAATACGCTGTCCCCTTTCCTCTCCATCCACATCTCAACAATCCTTCTTCCCCAGTCCCTGTGGATCCTGCTGCCAAGACGCAGTACCAACATTCCTCGCTGACGTCTCTTGCCTTCTCCTCTCCTCCCCTCACCCCGTCTTAACAACTCTCCTCTTCCAGTCCATATGGCTCCGGCTGCCAAGAAACAGTTCCAGTTACCTCGTGACGCGCCCATAACCTATATTTTTTTTGCATCTGAAACATTCGCTGCGCTGCACTGTTTCCTCGCTGACGTCTCTTGCCTTCTCCTCTCCTCCCCTCACCCCATCTCAACAACTCTCTTCTTCCAGTCCCCACGGCTCCGGCTGCCAAGAAACAGTTCCAACCACCGCGAAGGTCGCCCGTAACGCCCCCGGTCCAGTCAGCCTTCGAGCCGTCTCGTCCTGAAGCTGCTGCCGAGCCTGGCCCCTCTGGCTCGGCAAATCAGCCAGGTGGAAACAGCAGCGGAAGGGGCGGGCGTTCTGTGAGGAGGTCAGCTGCAGGGCAGGGGTCTGCAGGGTCCACAGCAGGTGAAGGCTTGATGGGAGCGGAAGAGGGCAGTGGTGAGCCGATGGTGGGGGAAGACTTGGTGCAGTTTATGGCAGGGACGGTACTGGAGGAGGAGAGGCAGCAGCAGCCACAGCAGGAGCAGCAGCCGGTTGCAGCTGGGCCAAGAGCAGCTGTTGCCCGTGTGTTCCAACGGTTCACTCCACCCCGCTCCATTGCCGAAGCTGGGACCACTCCTGAGCCACCATCGCAGCAACGGCAACCGTACAGGCGAGCAGCACCACCACGTGTCTCTGGAGATAGGCAGGAGGGTACGCCAACTGAGTGGGACCAGTTTGTGTTGCGGGGTAGTGAAGGAGCCCGAGGAGAGGAAGAGAGAGCAGAGGACGGAAGTGAGCGATCGGAGGGTGTGTTGAGAAGGGGCCGAGATTTGGATGAAGAGTGGGGCGTAAACGCAGACCTGGATGCAGATTTAGATGAGCTGCTGCTGCCTCCTGCCTTTGACCTCGTGAATGACGTGCCAGGCAGTCACGAGATAAGGCAAGTAGGACGGAGGCCAGGAGGGTGGAGGGCAGGCGGATGGATGGGCATGCGAGGGGCAGCAGGCGCAGCAGGAGGAGGAAGAGCGCGGGGAAGAGGAGGAGGGGTGGGATTCGGAGGAGGGCGGGTGGTAGGGCTGGGGGTGGGTGAGGCCGGCAGCAGCAGGCAGCAGGCAGAGGCGGTGTTTGACTCGCCGAAGCGGATGCTGGGGAGCGGGCGAGGGGTGCAAGGGCGGGGAGTTCGAGGGAGAATGGGGGCGGCGCACGTGGTGGTGCAACAGGAGATGTCCTGCTCCACATGTGTGGTGAGTCCCTCCTTCCTATCTTTCCCTCCTGTTTCTCCTGCCGTTTTCTTGACGATTAGTCACCCATCATCGCCCCCTGGTCACCTGTGTAATAGCTCGTGTCGTTAGCTAGCTCGAATGGCTGAAAACCGAGAACCTTCGTCCTTGAATCACAACCCAGTCAGCCTCGCTCCTAGAAGTGTACTCCTTCCTTCACATGCTGTGCTGGTTTGGTCACTTCGGTGGAAGATGCAGCTTCCACCCAGTAGAAGAGCTGGCCCAGCTTCCTTTCAGCAGAGCACAGATGCGCAGATGCGAGGCACTGGCCTCTTTCCCTCCCCCTTATCCCTGCAGACTTCCGTCAAGCCCTTCAGGTTGATAGGGTGAGTAGCCTGTTCTAGTCCCAGCTTCGCAGCCTCTCAGGCTATCAGTATCAGTTTCGGCGCAGCTACAGAGGCCTCCTGTGCGCCACAGCCTGGGTCCTTTTATTTGTCTTGTCTGTTTTGGTTTTCCACTTGCGCTTTTTTCCATGAGCCTTGTGCTATATTCAACCGTCTATCTTACCAGGATGCGTTGTGTGTGCTGCGTGTGTGCCTTGTCATGCACATTGAATCTCTGCTGTTTCGCCTGATTTTTCCACGGACACGCCGTGGTGTGATGGTGGGTCTTCTCTGCTCCACGGTGGATCTACTCTGCTGCTTAATTGGTGGCTATCACTATCTTTGGGCGTGCGATGGATGACAACAGGGCTCCGAGTTTCTGCTAACTCCACCTGCCAAGCGCCCCTGCTTTGATGACGGTATGTCTGTATTGTTTTTCATTCATTGTAATGTGATTGTTTCTATAGCATCTATCTTATGATTTTCCAAATTAGCATCTGGGCAGAGGCCGTTTTATGCAGGTGCGGCCTGTCCAGACTCTCCAGTCGTCGTTTCTCTGCATGGCAGGTGCACCTCCAGCGGACGCCAGTTTCTTCTCGCTCACAGCAACCCACACCATCCGCACAACACACACTCTCTCGCACATGCAAGCACACGCCATGCATGGCATCGAAATTGACCCATTTGCCGACCCATGGCCCGTGGGCCACAGCAGTGACCCCCTCCTCCCGCACGTCCTTCCATCCATCAGCCCCTTCGGCCCTGCCAGACCTTTTTCTGTGAGAGAATTGCAAGGAGAGGCGGAGGCGGTGGAGGAGGAGCAGCAGCAGCAGCAGGAGCAGGAGAGGGAGGAGGAGAGTCCTTTCTTTAGGCCCGCCAGAAGCTCTTTCCCTTTTGCGCCTTCTCCTCTGCTGCCTCCCTCTCACTGCAGTGCTGCTGCTTCTCTACATCGCCGCCCACCTCCTTCTCCTCTTCCTCGTCTTCATCCTCGTCGTGCAACCACGGGTTTATTCACTCCCACAACTCTAGCTTCCCCACCCTCAGCTGCTGCTGGGAATCCGTTTGCTTCACACGTTCACCGCAGTAGCATGCCTGGTTCCGCTGCAGCTGGAGCTATTGTTCGCACCACTGCTGCCGCTGCCGCTGCCTCTGTTGCTGCTACTGCTGTTGCGTCTGCTGGTTCAGCAGAGGTGGAAGAGGGGTTGTTCTGGCACGATCGGGGCTCTGGTGCGGCGGAAGGAGCAGATGCACCAGGCGCAGATTATGCAGATGCACTAGACCAGGCAGATGGGGGGGGTGAGAGGGATTGTGGAGATGATGGGTCTGATGGGCCCAATGGGGCAGGTGGCTCAGACAGGGCAGCTCGGATAGAACGGGCTGGTTCTGCAGTGCAGGCAGAGGGTATGGAGGAGGATGAGGGGCCTGGTAGGGCAGGATTCAATGCACCTGGACGGCAGGGTCTTGTGTTCAGGATGCCGGTAGCTGGTCTGCCTCCTGGTAGGGGTTTGAATGCTGGTGCTGCAGGACGAGCAGCACGAGGTGGCAGAGGGAGGGGGGTGGGTGACGTTACCGGCACAGTGCGAGGGGATCGCAAGAGAAATCTGGCACGGGGGAGTGCGTTTTTCAGAGGGAATGCTGCTGAGGGTTTTGAAGATTGTGATGCTGAGGATCTGGGGCAGGCTGAGGGTTCTGAAGGTGGTGATGCAGGCAATGGGGATGGAGAAGGGGAGCGTTATGGTGGTGGTGGTGTAGATAGAAACGAGTTAGGTGATACAGGGGATGGGGCTGCAGGGGAGATGCACATCAGGAGTGGGAGTAGCGGCATGAGTGGACTGTCGTTTGCTACTGATGTTTCACATGTGTTACGGTACTCAGCGGTGGGGAAGGATGCGATGGGCAAGGTGGCTGCGAAACTGGCCAGCTTCAGACACACTCCAGCGGAGAACAAACCGAGAGGGAGGATGGGGCGCCGATTGGGGGGCTTGAAACGACAACGGTAAGGGTGTATACCGGCTTCTTTTGTGTATGTTAATGTTTGTAGCGTGGGCTGGGTTGAAAATACTGATATTGACCTGTGTTGTTTTGTTTTTTTGTTCGATGCAGATCCCTTCCAGGCCAACAGGCTTGTTCGTTTCAATTCCGACTCAAAGACGCGAAGATGGATCAGTTTGTTAGGCGCAATGCCCTTCAGCCTACCAGCGTTGGTGTTACCTTTTCATCGAAGGAGCATTCACGAGCGATTTTGGAGTTCGATCTCTAGCATCGTAAACCATTACCTGCTGTAATCTTTATTAATATTTACCTTCCAATGGTTCTATCACATAAGTTGCAGCATTTCCTTCACTTCAAGATCCGTATAAAATGAAGTGACATGCTGCCTGATGATTCTTATAGCCAGTAACGCGGATATGTTCTCCACATTTGTCATACCAGTATGATTCGACTGGGTCCCTCGGTTTCATCACCACTACAAAGCATGTCCAGCATTGCTCAAGAACGAAAGCTGAGAGCATTGCTCCACCAGCTTTTGCTTCAACAGATTCCAACACGCCCTGAACTTACTGAAACGGTTAGGGGGTGTCCAGCTCGTTCATTTACTGTTCGTAAAGCCCTTCAGTTACCACAATTTGCGTTGTAACACTGAGTTTTACAAAAATGCCAGACACGATCAGCTCCCGTTCACGATACGGCACACCCCCTGCACGTACCTCGAATCGTGTGACGCACGTTACAGGAATCAGCGTGCGCATCGAACAATGGTACAGAACCGCGTCCTGCCCACTACAGTGAGTGCCCATCGTATCGCGAGCTTGATTTCGCATGTCCCGCCTGACACTCGCCAAAACCTATAGTGGAAGTGTTGGCCTGGCGAAAATTCTAACGCTTTGGTTGACGAGGGAACTGGTTACCTTGGTTGCCACACGGCCCCTGCACTGTTGAAGTCTGTGTGGGGGGATGGTGTCCGCGCGCCAGAATGACAGAAAGGGTGGACTCGAGCAAGGCACGTTCGTTTATAGGTACAGTGTTCAGTTTTGAACCCCGGATCGTGAGGAGGTACTAGATTTCCCGAAATGAACGAGCTGGACACGCCCTTATATCAGTTGTGTCGTTGAGTGGCCACAGATGCTTCCTTGCCAGCTCGTCCTCCTCATGATGGTTGCCGTCACTCGAAACACCACATACCTCGTCACGAGCCGCCGTCGCGAGCTGCTGTCACGAATCCCGCAAGCGTCGCGGTGCTCCGTTTGCTTCCCTTTTCCTTCCTCACACGCTTCCTGTCAAGCGTGACAAGACTACCTGCTTGATCAGCCTCTTGACTCCACAGCAGTCGCCTGGATGTACCAGTCAATTCCAATTCTACTCTCACGCACCGCAGATTTTTTCCAGTCGATTCGCGAGCCCAACTATATACCAATGACCTCTCGCAATCGCCGTCCCTTCCCGCTCTTCGTACGGCCCGATCTCGTCCATCTGGATAATGGCCTCTCGTAGCACTGTTCCCGCCGGTCAGCCCGTCATTTGAGGCGCCTCAAATCAAAAGCCACAAGAATCATCAGTGTAATGGCTCCGCGCAGCGCTGCTCCAACCCAGTCCGTCGCGCGGCGCTCGCCGCGGCGATGGCTGCTCGCTGCCCTCTTGCTTCTTCTGCTCCCCTCCTCGCTCCTCATCCTCTCCCACCACCTCCACCTCCTCCATTCCCCCACCGCGTCTCACGATCGCAGCTCAAGCCAACTCACCTCTCCCCTCCCTCATCCCGCTGCCAAAACACCTCATAGTTTGACTTTCCCGCTACCCGCTCCAACCACCACAAGAACCGCTGTAAAAACAACCTTGGATGGGTTTAACGAGCATCCCTCCTCCATCATTCGGCTGCTGAAGACGGAGCTAGGGAAAGAGGATCCGGACACGTCAGCATGGAGGGACGGTGCGGATGGACGTAGCGAAACCAGCTTTGGGGGAGACACAGAGGGGATCAGAATAGGGAGAAGTGGAGCAGACGACGGGGGGGATGATGTGGTTCAGCAGCAGCAGAAAGAGGAGGGGGAGGAGGAGGAGGAGGAGCAGAGGCAGGAGGAGCAAGAGGAACAAGAGAAGCAGGAGGAACAACAGCAGGAGGAGCAACACCAGCAGCCTCAAGACCAGCCCATACCTGATCCAACAGCCAATCATGGCGATTCCGCTACTCCTCTCATTTCCACCGACATTCCCTCCCCCGACATCCACACTCCTGCTTCCTCTTCTTTTTCCTCCTCTTCTCCGTTCGCGCCTCAAAAGCTGACGTGGCACCCACACCCGGACCGATACCTGTTGGCAGTGTGCGTGCGCGGGCAGGTGAACCACCGCATTCAACCGCATTGCCTGCCTCAACCGCCACCTCATCCGTTTCACTCCACTCACCTCCCCTTCTACTGTTCTCTGCCTGTCCACCCCACTCATCTCCTCTCAACCCTCATGCCCGGTGGGTAAACAACAGCATAGGCTGCCTCTGCCCCATCCTTGCTGCCCTCCTCAACCACTCCTTTGTGCTCCCCTTTTCCCTCTCCCCTTCTCCCTTTTCCCCCCCTCAGGTGAACAACCGCATTGGCTGCCTCTACCGCCACCTCCTCATCCTTTTTCGCTCCGCTCAACTTCTACTCCCCTCTTCACTTGCACCCCACCCCTCTCCTCTCCCCCTGCGTGCCCATCAGGTGAACAACCGCATTGGCTGTCTCTACCGCCACCTCATCCTCGCAGCCCTGCTCAACCGCACGCTGCTCGTCCCGGCCCGCCTCCCCTCCCTCACCCCGCTGCTCTGCCAGCGGGGCACATCCGGCCGCGCATGCCCCTCCTACCCGCTCCCCCTCTTCTGGGACCTCAACCACACGAGACGCTGCCTGGGTGCCGCCTCCGTGATCAGATCAGACGAGTTTGCCGCCCGGTTCAGCCGCCCAGTGGAGGTGAACCACATGCGGTGCTGGCACGGGCCGGAGGGGCTCTGCCACCCGACGTATCCCATAGTGAAGAAGAACTGTTTGGTGGGCACGGCGCTGAGTTACGTGGCTGAGAATCTGCGGAAGAAGTTTGGCGGGCGGAGAGTGGCGAGCGATGTGGTGCATGCGATGCTGCTCAACGGGTCTTCTCTGCAGCCTCACAGTGGTGTGTCTGAAGCTGATGAGTCGTCCAAAGATACGGAGTCGTTAACCTCGCCCTCCCTGTCGGACGAGCCCACAACTGTGGGAGACCACCTGCTGCAGCTCACAGGGAGAACGCTCAAGCACTCCTCCTCCTCTTCCTCCTCCTCCTCTTCCTCCTCCTCCTCTTCCTCCTCCTCCTCTACCTCCACCTCCTCGTCCTCCCCTTCCAACCCTGCATCCTCCACCTCGCTGCCGATCCGTCCCACGCCCATCGACCCCATCCGCATGATAATGCTGCACCAGCCTGGTGCCGTCTCCATCCCGCCTTCCGCCACGGCCTCTGCGCTCTGCCTGCCGCGCTTCGTGCATGTCTCTGATGTGCTCCGTGCGTACGGCCCTCTAGGGGAGTCTGTGCGAGTGCTGGCTGTGGGGGACCTGGTGGGGACGGCTGTGCTGGGCCTGCCTCACAGGTACGCGCTGCTGCAGCAGAGGGCGCGGAGGTGGGAGGAGAGCGGGGGAAAGCGGCAGGGTGGGGCAGGAAAAAGGGAGGGCAGGGGGTTGGGTGGGAGAGAGGGGCAAGTAGAAGAGAAGGGGTTTCAAGTGGAAGGCTCATCTGCGGCTCGAGGCAGAGATGGATCATCTAACCTGGGGGATGGATATTCCGGAGGGAGGAATCTTTGGCTGGATAAGGATTTCGTCCGCCCGCCCGGTGGCCGGTGGCTGGGGAGTTCGGGCAGCGGCGGTCTCCGAGATTGGCTTAGTATTTTTCAGTTCCTGCCCGGGTGCCGCAACACAGCGGCCATCATCCCGCCCCCGGCGGTCTTCCAGCGAGCTCAAGCCATCATCCGATCCCTCTTTGGTGCAGCAATGGTGGATGGTGGTGCATCTGATATGGGCGGTTCTGCGGAATCGGAGACAGGTCATTCTGGTGGTGACGTCTCAACAGAGGAGGTTGGAGCAGGGGAGGGTAAAGCAGGGGACACTGGAGCATCGACTGACGCTGACCTGCCTGTTCCGGCAAACCTGCCAGCATTCCTGGCAGTGCACTGGCGGCGGGGCGACTTCCTGCAGTTCTGTGCGCGCTCAGGGCCGCCCGGCTTCTGCTTCTACTCGCCCGTGCAGGCCGCGCAGTGCGCTGCTGACGTGGCGCGCCGCAACGGGCTCGTGAACGTCTACGTGGCAACGGATGCTGAAGACAAGGAGGTGAGTTGGATGGGTGCGGATCTGTTGTCTTGTTCTGCCTTTCTTACTCTGCGTGTGCCTCTGTCTCACTCCCACCACGTTTCACTTATGCTCCCTTCCACATTCCCTCTGCTTCTCGTCTTTTGATTGGCTACAGTTCCAAGAGTTTCGAGAGACATTGGGTCCAGAGTTCACGGTGGCGAGACTCCCCTCTTCCCCATCCCCTCTATTGCCGGACCCGCATCAAGATCCTCTGTTGGGGCTGAGGCATGGGGCTTTCCTCAAAGACGCAGCAAGCCTGCTGTACACCATATTGGATAAGGTTATATGTGTTTACTCCACTGTGTTTTTAGCCACACCATCATCTACACTCTCTAACGATGTTGCTCGTATAAGGGAGGGGCTTGGCATCCCTGCTGCGATGGCTGCTGCTGCTGCTGTTGGAGCAGAGGAGGAAGCAGTGGGGGAGAGTGCGGAGGTGAGAAAAGGGGTTGATTTTGGAGAGAGTACTGGAGTGGAGGAGGGAAGGGATGGTGCTCTGTGTGAGGGGCAGAAAGAGTGGCATCCTATGGATGGCTTACCCAAGAAGCTCCAACAATTGAAGGCCTTGAGGATTCTGTCGAATGATAAGGGAGAATGGTAAATCTCCTAGTGAGCTTTGATCGATGTACCTAGTCTTGTAGTCCCTTGCGTAGTGGTTAGGCTGCTTCTTTAATCGTATCATAATAAAGCAATTAATCGTGGTGTACATTCTCCCACCTGCGGCGCACCATGTCACGCACGCATCAATCAGTTCAATCAACCCTTCCGGCCGACTTCCGCCGAGTTGCAACTGACACAGCTTCGCAAGATGTCGCACACGTCGTCGAAGTCATTCCCAAGGCACAATGTCCATCGTACGTAGGAATCAAGAATCAGGGGTGAAGGGGAGAGTAGTCTGCCAAAAAACAGATTCTCGAGTTTTCCCGCACCTGGCATTCCGAAATTCCCCCCCTGCTCTCTCAGGCTTGTCAATTCATGACCAGTCCTCGTGACCAGCTGAGAATCTCAGCGAGTCTACTGTCCCGAAGCGTTTGGCACTTATCTATAGGACCCTCTTACTCGTGAGTTCCACTTATGGCGCTCCACGACAAAATGCTGCCTTTCAAGCCTGATTACTGCGCATGACCTACTGATTAGGGTCCGTTGAAACTCACAAGAAACAGTCCATGGATTCTCGAGTCGGCGCAAAGTCCTTCCACGGCTCGGCACTCAGCTGGTAAAACACCCATTGTGCTGGAGTCATGCTGAACTCTGGTGCCGAGAATCTGTTGATGAATTTCTGAGTCGGCTCAAATAACGCGTCGTGCTTGCCGATACCCACCAGAAAGGACACAGATTGTGCGGGTTTCTTGACTCGGCTGACAAGAAGCTGTTTGGGAATTTCTCTCTCGACTCCATAATCACTTCGTGCATATCGATACTCGGCTAGCAAGAGCTAGGTCATGGATTCCGGAAAGCACGTACGGAGAGACCTTGATACAGATTGTGCCGGAGCTCCTGCTGACTCATCAGCAGGAGCAGCCAATGGCGTCGCTCGACCGGACCTACATTCCATGCTCGGACCGGACCTATGCGAAAGAACAACATCGTCGATGCAGCGTTATGCGTCGCCGCTGAAACAGCAGCAGCAGCCCCAACAGGAGCAGGAGGACGAGGAGGAGATCATTTCCTCCCTTAAAGACTCTGATAGCTTACTTTTGAAAGATGGGAGTCCGATTACTGATTCCACCCATTCTTCCCAGAGTCTCAAGCTTTCAAGCTGGCCTTTCTCGAGTAATTCCCCGATTTCAAGAGTCTTGTGGTCTCCCTCTGTCCTCCTCCTCCTTGCCCTCGCCTTCCTCCTCGTCGTCCTTTACACTCTTTTCCTGCAACCTGACTCGCTCCTATCCACGGATGCCGTAGACTTATCCATCGGATCAGCCAATGAGCTGCTGCCAGGTCAGACCCAGAATGGCTCCCCCTGGGTGCAGGCATCAGGCTCGCCTTCCACTACCAGTCACGAGCACAATGCAGCGGACCCCGAACCTCATTCCGATCCTGAGTCCGACCCGAGCCATCACGGCCCGGATACAGCAGTAGCAGATTTTCATGCTGGGGTGGAGAAAGGCTCACTGGGATCGGAGGGTGAGAGGGGGTCGCTGAGCGGTGGTGAGGGTAGTGGGATGTGGCGTGGCAAGCTGGTGTGGACGCCACAGCCCGACAGGTTCCTGCTCGCCGTGTGCCTGCGAGGCCAGGTGAGACGTGGGAGGGAAGTTGGTTGGGGGAGAAGGGCTCACAGGGATCTGAAGAGAGAGAGAGGGGGTCGCTGAGTGGTGGCGAGGGAGGGATGTGGAATGGCAAGCTGGTGTGGACGCCACAGCCTGACAGGTTCCTGCTCGCCGTGTGCCTGCGAGGTCAGGTGAGTCACAGGTGGGTGATGGTCCGGTCATTAGCAGTTAGAATGGGGGTAAGGTGCGAGGTCACTGAAAACAGCTACGCTCTTCTTTCGTGAAACGCATGCGTTCCCATGACATGTCACTCACATGCACTTGCCTTCCTTCTCTCGCTTCTCCTTCCCTCCCTCTATTCCCCAGAAACCGCATTGTCTGCCTCATCCTTCCCACTGCTCTCTGCCCCTCCTCTCCACCACCCTCGTTCTTTTCCACCTCAACCCCCCTCCCCCCAGCCTTTCCACCCACATCGTTTCCACCGGTCTTTCCACACCCGACCTGTCCACCCGACTCCTCTCCTCTTTCCCCATGTGCCCGCCAGGTGAACAACCGCATTGGCTGTCTCTACCGCCACCTCATCCTCGCCGCGCTGCTCAACCGCACGCTCCTCGTCCCTCCAGTTTTGCTCTCCACGTCCCTCGCCTACTGCAAGCACGGCCTCTCCGGCTCCCCCTGCCCCTCCGTCCCGCTCCCCCTCATCTGGGACCTCGCGCACACGCGCACGTGTCTGGGCGGCGACACTGTCCTGCGCACGGACGAGTTTGCCGCCCGGTTCGGCCGCCCGCTGGAGGTGCATCACCTGCGGTGCTGGCACGGGCCGGAAGCGACGTGTCCGATGGGAAATCCTGGGCTGCTGAAGAACTGCTTGGTTAATGACACGACGCAGGGGGGCGGTGGGAAGAGGAGGAGGCTGGCGGGAGTGTCTGGGGGATTGAGGAAGCTGTCTCGAGTGGGAGTGGGAATGGGAACAGCGGCGGCTGCTGCTGTGAGAGGGTGGTTTGGAGGGAGTGAGATGACGTGGGTGAGAGGGAGCAGGAGAAGAAAGCTGCTGCAGCAGCGGACCCTGCAAGACACCCCCTCCGCTAACCGCTCCCCACCGCTCTACACAGTCCATTCCTTCGCCGACTCGCCCCTCCAAACCTCTGCGGCGCACCTGCACCTGTTGCCCCGCCAGCTCTCCCCAGATGTGCACATCAGCGCCAGCGCCACGGCGTCTGCAGTGTGCTTCCCCCGCTTCGTCCACGTACGGGATATCCTCCGTGCCTATGCTCCATTATCAGCCTCCGTCCCTGTGCTTGCTGTGGGGGACCTGGTCTTCACCGCCTTCCTTGGCCTCTCAGACAGGTATGTTGCTTCTTGAGGCGCCTCAAAAGGCGTCAGCAGTGTGCTTCCCCCGCTTCGTCCACGTGCGAGACATCCTCCGCGCCTATGGCCCGCTCTCTGCCTCCGTTCCTGTTCTCGCCGTGGGGGGCCTCGTTTTCACCGCCTTTCTCGGGCTCTCTGACAGGTACGTTTCTTTGGGCGCCTTACAAAGCGTCAGCAGTGTGCTTTCCCCGTTTTGTCCACGTGCGAGACATCCTCTGCGCCTATGCTCTGCTCTCCGCCTCCGTCTCTGTACTCGCTGTCGGGGACCTTGTTCACCGCCCTTCTCGGCCTCTCGGACAGGTACGTCTTGAGGCGACCCGAGATGTGCTGGTTTTATTCATTCTCAAAAACAGCTCTCTGACAGGTACATCTTGAGGCGGCCCAGAATGCTCTCAGAAGACGCCCCCTCTCTATGAGAGAGAAGCTACCGTCTTTGTGATCACAGAGAAGGCCCTTGAATTCATGCACTTGATTTTGACGCGCCTCTGAACTTGCCCTTGTGCTCATAGTGAAAGCCCTTGTGTTACCCCTCTTCCCGCACTCTCTGCCAGGTACGAGCCCTTCAAGGAGCGTCTTTTTCGGTACAAACGATGGCGCGAGCGCGAGGAGGCTTCACAGGAAAGGGAGGGCACCTCGACGAGCAATTTTGTTGGCATGCTTGCGAGCAGCAGCAGCAGCAGCCAGGTGATTCTGGAGTCTGATTTCCTTGGGCCCGCTGGGGGGCGCTGGCTTGGGAGTGCAGGAAAGGGGGGTCTGAGAGAATGGAGGAGCGTGTTCCACTACCTGCCTGGCTGTCCGGTTCCCGTGCCCATTCTGCCCCCCAAGGAGATTATTGAGGATGGTAGGCGGCTCGCACAAGCCCTGTTTGGTGGGGAGAGCGGTGCCAGAGCTAGCAGCGGGGGTGGGGGTGACGAGGGCACGGATAGCAGCTTCACGAACGATACACTTGCAGCGGTTGCAGGAGGGGCAGGAGGGGCAGCAGGGGACAATCTCCCCGCCGTTTCACCCGCAGGATCAGGCGGTGCATCAGAGGGCGGGGGAGGAGGGGGGTACCTGGCGGTGCACTGGCGGCGCAGTGACTTCAAGGACTACTGCGTGTGGTCGGGGCCTTCTGGCTTCTGCTTCTACTCTGCGCAACAGGCTGGCAAGTGTGCTGCTGACGTGGCACGGCGCAACGGGCTAAGGAGTATTTATGTTGCTTCTGACGCCAATGTGGAGCAGGTCAGTTGGTGTTACCTTTTTTTTCAGTAACAAAATCTTGTTCTTGCTTGCTCTGATTTCAAGTTTCCGCTGTGCTCAGCTGCCCCTCCATTCCTCAAATGCTCCTCCTTTCTCACCTGCCTCCCGTTCCCATGCAATCCCCCCGAACCTCCTTTTCCCCGGCTCTTGTCAGTTTGAAGAGTTTCAAAGGGCAGCAGGCTCTGCCTTCAAGGTCATTCGCTACCCAGACAACCCATCAGCATTCCTCACAACCCTCACTTCAGAGCCTCTCCTTTCCAACATCCCTGCCTCCATTGATCGAGAGGAAGCTTCCCTGCTCCTGCACATGCTCCTTGACAAGCTCATCTGTGTACGCTCTACAGTGTTCCTCGCTACCATGTCGTCCACTCTATCCAACGACGTCGCTAGAATGCGCGAGGGGTTTGGCGTGCCAGCAGCCTTAGCAGCAGCTGCTGATCCTGGAGCTGGCAATGCTAGGAAAGTGGCTGCAACCAATGATGCACCCGGTGACGTCGGTTTAGAATTTGTGGTGAGCTCGGGTGTAGAGGAACAGAGGGATGGTGGGCTGTGTGAAGGGGAGAAAGTATGGCAACCCCTTGAGGGGTTGTTTGGGTGGATGAAGGACATGAAAGCCAAGAGAATGACCGAGCATTCAGCAGGAGAGTGGAGGAGATGACTTTCTTGTGAAATTGTGCGAGACAGCATTCCTCTAGAAGAATCCCCACATCTACACCCCACCATCTTCTGCTTGCCGATATTTGTAGTTTGTATCACAGTGAGTGGCCTCTGTTATTAATCAATGTGATAGATATAAGAGAATAACACTACAGGTGTGTCACTCCGTGGTCCGTATGACCAAGTGTGGTACAGCAATCCTATATCCAAGTTCCTAGCTGCCTTTTCCTTTAGACTGACCACCACCAGCTGCAGCTGCTTTCTTCGCAGCCTTCTCTTGCAGAGCCTTGGCGTCCCTGGAGGCAAGAACGAAACAGGAAAAACGAAAGATGAAAAACAAATATACCATCAATACAGCCATTCAGGGGGTCAGAGAATGACAAGAGTACCATCCTGTTTCGTCCCTCTTCAAAGTTGTGTGCATGAGCGTATGACAAGGAAAACGGGAGGTTTACCTCTCACGGCGCTGCTCTGGGGTCAGACCGTCGGCCTTCTTGTTCGCGCCGTTCTTTGCTGCACGGGCCTGGGCCCTGGCGCGATCAACCTCTCGCTGATTGCCGCGTATATTGTTAGAAACACAAGAAGAACAACCAGTTAAGGAAAAAACTTGTTTTACATCATACGGAACAAGGAGAGCAAACGGAAAGTCAGAAGATACACAAACGCCGTATCTACGAAATGGGAAAACATGAAAGGCCATGTCGTTACAAAGGAACTGTCAAAGTATGAATGGGGAAAGGGAAGCGCTGAGCAGGATATGACTCATTTATGACTCGATGGTTTCGCCTCTGGCAGAGAAGTCGAATCAAGGAACTGCTGCTAGTCCGGAAAATGAGCTAAGGCCGATCGAAAGAGGCAAAACTAGTTAGTCTTCCACCTAACGAGACTTTGTAACAACCCTAAGCTTACTAGAATACAACGTGAGGGAAATCCCACGAGAAACGGAAACTGAGAACTCTCGGACAAAATGCAGACTTGTTGTTGCAAGTCACCTGTTTCACTTTCGTGTAATGGAAGATAGAAAGTTGAAGTGGCGGAACGGAAGCAGCATAGGGTAGGGATGGGAGGGGAAGGAGTTGGATGATGGAAGGAACGTGGTTACGCGAAGGATCGCCGGGGAACAGGCTTCCTCGCGCGAATCAGCTTCAACAACAGCCATTCGCTGACGACGGCACTTGTGGTTGGCGAAACTTGGACGTTGTTTTCGCGATGCGGGAAACAGTTCTGCAGCGTGTCGCGATGTGCCAGGGCTGCGCCTAGAATGTTCCATGGCAGATTTTGGACCTCAAATGTCGAGGTGGCTGGAAACGGAATCTCGAAGACTTCCAAAGCAGCAGCAGTGAACAGCGCCGTCGCGGCTTTGCGAGTAAATCGCGACGAATTTGTGCGAAAACGATCCGCGAAAGTCTGCGACGTTCAAGCAACAACCCAGACTACCGAAAGGGGAAAATTGTGGCGAAACCAGCGTACCTGGTGTGCAGATTGCAGCGTGCAATACCCAAGCGGATATGAAACATCACCCAAATGATGTGTTTCAGAGGAACAATGCAGGAGCAATGTCTTCTCATTACTTTGACACTGCCGGAATCATACAAAACAGCAGTGCAAGCACAAGGAGATTGCCCGGGAAGAACTGCAGGCGAAGGACATACCACCAGCCCTATCTTCTTACAAGCCTGGAAATCTGATCCACTAATGCTCATGTCACAAAACGTTTTTGTTCTAACACTCCGCTTAGTTCATGCGCCGGATGAGCGCGTTGATCTTGTCCTCGCGGTTACCAGCATCGCCGCCCTCCACGAAGTGCAGGCGCTTCTTCTTCATGCCACCGTTGGGCGCCGACAGCTTGAACGGCCACAGGAAGTTGTTGCACACCTTGAAGTGCGGGCCCGTCGTGAAGATCTGGTAAATCAAATCCTCCACACACAGAATCTTCTTCTGCCCCAGCACCTGAGAGAATTGGGTGGGACAACGTGGCAGGGATACAAATTTAAAGTAAGGATCAAGCACTTTCAAAACGGGTCCCAACTCTGAACCAGGGGGAGGTGCAAGAGAGCTGAAGGGGCTTCCTGTGAGATACACAGGAAACCTGTTATTAGAATTGAAGTACAAAGCTTCAGGGCCAGAGAGGAAGTAGCAGCAGCAGGAGATGGGGCACATGCGAGGAGACTCACTTTTTGGACGACCGAGTTCTTAGTGAGGGGGATGCGCTGGTGCCTGACCTTGCCGTACCCGCGCTTGTAGATCAACTCACGCACCGACTTCAGGTTCGGGTAGCTGTGGGACACAGGAGATTTTCCAGGTGGTTAACAACATTGAAAGGCACACAGCGCAGTGCAGCCAGTGAAGAGTGGAAAAGCATGAGATGCGGCAATGGCGAGACTTAGGGCTTGTAGATGACAGTATCAAAGCAGCGTTAGTGACAGTAACGGGCTCACCCGTAGGTGACGTAGGGCTCCACCAATCGCAGCATCTGCAGAGTGGCCTTGGTGACCCTCAGGAACACTCCGTTGAAGATCTGACAGCAATGGCGGCCAAGGCGGGAGTTTAGGATAGGAGGCGAAAGGGGGGTGGAGCGGGGGAGTGGGGGTTGGGGAGGAGTGAGGGTATGGTCCGCGAAAAAGGAGAAAGTGGAGGGTGCTGTGTCTGGGGGAGGTGAAGTGACGAGGGAAAAGGTTGCGCGACTGATTCTTAGGTGTGTAAAGATTTCAACCGGGGGGGGAAGGAGAAAGCTCCATCCTCTAACCTGGCGGAAGGGCAGAAGCTGCACGCACGTGAACGCGTCTATTTCTTAGGTGCACCAAGCACGCAACCAGGAGACCGAGAAGGTTCTGCTCTCACCTGGCGAAGGCGCAGGAGCTGCAGAATCTTGCGCGTCTTGGGGTGCATGTCGTTCACACTGGCACGCGCGCAACAGCGGGGCGGGGAGAGGGAGGGAGGGGAAGGGGGAGGCATGAATGAGTGGGAGAAGGGAGTAGATACACATGAATGCAGCCCGGAAAATGGGGAAGTGGAGCGAGAGATGGCAGCAGTATGCACGGTCGGAAAGACCCAGCGGAGGGGGGAATAGAGGAAAGCACGTACGAAAAAGGGGTTGCGCGGGGGGACGGGGGAGCGAGGAAGCGGGAGGTGAAGCGGGGAGAGGTGGGGAGTAGAGTTCAGGCAAGGGGCAGGTGAAGAAGGGACGCTCACCCACGGATGCGGATGATGAAGAGCAGCTTGGGCTCGGGCTCCACGTAGAACGTGTTTGGGCGCTCTCAGAACCACCTGCAACCTGAAGCAACCGGATGCAACCGGAGGCAACCGCAAGCGACTCACCCACGAATGCGGATGATGAAGAGCAGCTTGGGCTCGGGCTCCACGTAGAAGCCGCCGCTCAGCTTCGCCTCACGCTTCAGCTGCACCAGCTCGCGCTCCTGCGGGAAAAGCGGAAGGAGCGGGGGAGAGAGCGGGGGCAAAGGGGGAGGGTAGGGAGGGACGAGGGAGGCGCAGAAAACAGGCACACACACGAGGAGCCGTTGGTCATGCTTACACACAGCGCTTTGCTGACCAAAGGGCGCAAATGAATGAGGAACGCGTGTCGGCCGTCTTCGCCCGACGAAGCAGCCCTCGCTTCGTGATAAAAACTTCGCTTTCGTTTCGCCACACTAGAAATCGCACGAAACCGATAGATTTCACTCTGACTAAAGATCGACAGCAGACGAAAAGAACGTTTGCCTCGATCTTGCCGAAGTCGGACGAAGCACAACCCTACCTCCCCGTCGAATAGCTCCTACAACCGCGCGTCCCACTGCGCGCCTAGCCACGTGTCCAGCCGGGCGCCCCTCGTATTCTCAGACGCAAAAACCTGCTCTCTGATGTACACCCCCCCAGCTCACTCCCTATCTATAACGCTTTCGCCCCCTACTCCGCAATTTTGATACGCCTCCGGACTAATCTACGGGACCTATTGTCGCCATCATCACGCTTCCCACGACCTCGTCTCTCCGTACGGGCGCCTGGAGACTGCGTCCTACACCCTCGCCCTTCCCATAGCCATCGTCTCGCCGCACGTTCCCAGCCGCTGAACATCGCCCCATGCTGCTCCCTCCGGACTCGAGTCCCTAGAAGGCCCGTCGACAGCGGCCTGCTACCAGCTTGAGACCTATAGACCCCTGCTCCATTTCAAAGGATTTCCACAGCTGCAGTGATTACCGTTACAGAACTAGCTACCGCCACCTAAGTCAGACCCGCAAGTGAGTATCGTCCGTGCCGCGTGAAATCGGAAACTGCGCGCTCCTGTGAGGATCGCCGCCTATAGGCCGCACTTGCTACTCGCCGCCGCCCACCTTGCGCGCGTACGACTTGTCATTCCCTGTCCCCTGCCCCACCTTGCGCGCGTACGACTTGTCATAGGCGGCGGCGCGTTGGTGGATGATCTTGCGGATGAGCTTGTTCTTAGCCTTGCTCTCCGCCGCCTTCTTGGCGATCGCCGCGCCCCACTTCTCCTCGCGCTCGCGCTTCTTCGCGATCGACTCGGGCACCGCCTCCGAACTCATCTTGACTCACCTGCGGGGGGAGGGGGCAGGGGGAGGGGGGGAGGGGGTGGGGGGAGAGAGAGGGGGGGAGAAAGGGGGGAACAACGGGGGGAAGAGGGGCATTCTAAAGCGGCTGACGCTCGCGCTTCTTCGCGATCGACTCGGGCACCGCTTCCGAACTCATCTTTGACTCACCTGCTGGAGAGGAGGAGGCGGAGGTTGGGGGGGGGGGGAAGGGGAGATGGAAAAGAAACGGGACGGGGGAGAGATACGGGGAGACGGGGGGGGGAGGGGCATTCTGAGGCAGAGAACTCTGCAACCCAGATTGCGCTCGCGCTTCTTCGCGATCGACTCGATCCTCGCCTCGAAAGGGGCGGGGGAACGGGGGGGGGGGGCAGGGAGCGGGAGGAGAAAAGGGAGCTGGACGGGGCGATGGAAGGGGGAGCTGTCATGGGGACAGGAGTGGCGGGGCGGATGCGGGGGAAGAGAATGCGGGGAACGGGGACGTGGGGCAGAGGACGAGGGTCTGCTGAGAGAGCAGCCAGAGGTGCTAAGAGCACGGAGGGAGCGGCAAGAAAGGAGCATGATGGAATAAGGTCCAGTAACGTTTGACAGCAGCGATACGAAGGGAAATCTTGGTGCGGTGCGATGAAAGCAGAGAAACTCAGTAAGCAATCCTGTTCAGCTCGCTGTCTCTAGCATGGCCAATCGTCTAACTGTCCGGCAAACAAATGGAGGCCCGAAAATGCACCGACACTGAAATGCCCATTCGCGAAAATTCAGCGAGATCTCCCCGCTGGACAAGCTAACCCTAAAAACCAGTAAGGGTGCGCAATTCATCAGGTTCCCGCGACTCGGCGCTGTTACAACTGCATGACGGCATACATGGTTCTTCTAACTACAGCACGCGCGAATCGCGGAGGAATGGGCTACTCACTTTGTGTGGGATGTCCTCCCAAAATTTTACAAGGGGTGAAAAGGGGATGGGAAAGGAAAGAGAAAAGGCTTTCAAGGGAAAGAAAAGAAGAGGAGGAAGGTGGAGGTGGGAGGGAGGGGAGCGGAGTAATTCAACAGCACGAGGGGGAGCTGGGGGGGAAAGGCGGGGGACGGAGGGAGTGTCGCGCTTGTCCGGGGACGATTTGTGCGCGCGTGTGCATGTGCGAAGCGAACAGAGCAGGGGCCAGGGAGCAGGGAATTACGAGGCGAGGAGGTAGTGTGTGGATTACCACCATAGCAAAATTGCCGCTCCGTAATCCGTTAAGTGCTGTACCAAAGGTGATTGTCTGTAATGAAATTTCTGAAACACTCACAATAAAGCACCTTCGTATAATTCATAAATCCGACCTGCTATTGAAATATTTTGAAGTGCAAACTACCAGTACCTGATTTTTCAACAGCATATGTGGCAGCCATGCCTTTTTAGTTTTATAACCCGGTCTGCACAATATCTTTTCCAGCACAATCACTATTTTGCGTAGGCCCATGTATCCAGTGAAGAGCAGCATTGCCTTTGAAAACAACTCATACAGAAGGCCAGAAGAACTAAGACACAGAGCAGCACAGCATACACTACCCTCCCAATTCGGTACTGTAAGGTGCTCCTTCCTAGTCAATATAAGGTCTGTGCCTCAATGCGCTTTACATGCCGCTGAATCCCTTCTTGGTCTTGGCATCAGAGCCGTGCGGAATCACCTTGAGCACGTTGAATCGCACCGTCTTCGACAGCGGCCTGCTCACAAAAACACAAAAACACTACTAACATCGTTTGCACATACCCATGACAGGCGGACAAACACTAGTACCAGGCGTGATAAAAGCCTGATCTCTCTTTACAATCCTCTGCTCTGGCCCACAATTACAGCAGTACACTACCCACCCTGCATGACCTACATACAAGAACGTTCCCTACGCTCTTCCCACCAACTTGCACTGCCTGGCAATGAGCGCTGCCCGCAGACGTGCACTAACTGACTGGGCCGACTAAGAGGGTAGCTTCCCCCTAACACCCTCCCACACCCAGTGGCTCCAATGTCCTGCACTGCCCCCCCCCCGCGTCTACTGACCTGCACTGCCCCCCCGCGTTTGATAACCTTCACTGTCCCACCATACAGCAGAGCACACTGACGGACCATCAGTGTCATCCCCCCCCCCCGCCTCCTCTCCCTCCACTGAACTGCACTGCCCCACGATGACCTGATACCCCTTGTACTGGTCCACCATGCAACACACTGGTCGTCTCACTCCCCTCCCTCCCTTTTCCGCCCCGCCCATACCCAGTGGGTCCACTGGCCTGCACTGCCCCCCGTGCGCCCACTGACCTGCACTGCCCCCCTCCTTTCCACACACTGACCTGCACTGCCCCCCTCCTTTCCACACACTGACCTGCACTGCCCCCCTCCTTTCCACACACTGACCTGCACTGCCCCCCTCCTTTCCACACACTGACCTGCACTGCCCCCCTCCTTTCCACACACTGACCTGCACTCTGTCCCCTTCCCCCTCTTTTCCACACACTGACCTGCACTCTGTCCCCTCCCCCCTCTTTTCCACACACTGACGAGCAATGATCCCTTCCCCGCCCCACACTGACCTGCACTGCCCCACGATGACCTGATCCCCCTCCTTCACGCGGAAGCACGGCGACACGTGCGCCGACAGGTTCGAGTGCCTCTTCTCGTACCTGCACGCCCGGGAGGGGGAGGGGGAGGGGGCGAGGAAAACAGGTGGGGGCAGCGGAGATATGGGTTAAGAATTTAACAGGTCGGTGGTTAGATGATGGGGAGCACACGAAATGGCGCTCACTGACACTCACCGTTTGGGGCGTGCGTTATTAGACGTGCGAGGCGTCTCACCTTTAGTACTCGTCATAAGTCACCGTTCGTACTCGTTATAACGCACCGTTGGTACTTGCGCACGAAGTGGAGGTAGTCGCGGCGGATGGTGATGGTGCGGTTCATCTTGGTCGACAGCACCGTGCCCGACAGAATGCGCCCGCGGATCGACACGTTGCCCGTGAAGGGACACTTCTTGTCGATGTAGGTGCCTGTGGCGGAAAATGGGGAGCGGGGGGGAAAGGAAGGGGGGAAGGGGGAAAGGGAGAAACGATTGTACAGCGCCTCAAGGCACGTTGCCCCTTGTCGATGGACGTGTTCGTAGCGGCGGGAAGAGGCGAGAAGGGTATCGAAGGAGGCAGGGGAACGGCGAAGAGGGTGCACAGACGAAGAGGAGATAGACGAGGGGGGAAGCGGGAGGGGGATGTGGGGGGGGGGAGGGGATTGAGTTAAAGGATGTATATTAAGGCCAACCAGACAACCCTAGTCGATGTGGGTGCCTGGCGCGGGGAACAGGATGGGAGCAAGCGAGAAGAGGGAATGAGGGACGGGGATTGTACTGTAGGGCGGTGGGGATTGTTGCGGAACTGACGGTGGAAAGCGCCGGGGTTAATCGCAGTGTAACGACGTGCACGCGACGTGAGGAACTCAAGAGGTGCGAAACCAAGCCTACAACAAGGAGGTGCTCCCTGAGAACGAGGGGAACCGAGGGAGGGGAATCGAGGAAGAGCGAACGGCCCACCGAGGAGTGGTGTGGGTGGACAGACGGTCACGACTCATTGAGGACTGGTTAGATGGTCAGGATGCTGCTTGGTGGACAGATGGTCACCCGCAATTCTTCCCTTTCCTCAATCGCTCTCTTCACATACGGACAGACACCCCGCAAACCACGTTCGCACCTTCGATGGCCTCGCGGGGCGTCTTGAAGCCCAGCCCCACGTTCTTGTAGTAACGGTTACCCGCCTTGCCCGGGGTCCTCAGCTTCTTCTTCGCTGAGTAGTCGCCGCTGCAAATTGCAGGTGCGGGCGGCAGCGCGGGAACGGGGAGAGGGGGGTCGGGGGGGTGATGGGATAAGGGGGACGAGGGAATGAAGCGTTGAGTGCGTGGGAGAGGGATGAAGGCCAGGAGGGAGAGTGAGCAGAACGACGGAAATCACTGGAGACTTGCAGAAATGCCCTAAAATAACGCTTGGACTGCTCACATCACTGATCCACGCTCCTCAGATATAAATGACGTGACTTACAAGTCAGCGGAAAAGTCACCTCGATACAATGACTCGGCGTGGCTGATACTTAACGCGACTAACTAGAATTGGCGGTGATAGATAACAGTTACAGAGAATGACTGACAAACACGGGAAGGAAAGGCACCATGGTGAAGCCGTGAACATAACGCGCTATATCTCTTGCGAACAAACCCATGACGTAGCCAAGCCCATAGTGTAACCTAGTCCAAGAATCTACGTACCAGAGGAAGACTCCCTGCTGCTTCTGAAAAGCGCGCTCCGTCTGTACTTAGAATGATCGAAACCAGAGAGAGCACAAAGACGAGAAAACACGAAACCACGGTTACATTAGCAAAGTGTTCCCCACACTGTGCACCCCCAGTGTATGAATCTGATCAGGGCAACAATATGAAGAAATCCGAATGCTGAAAAGAGCGGCTTCTGCAACGGAAACGGCTACAAAGCGGATGGATAATGCCGTTGCGATGAAGTCACATCAAACCCTAATGGTGCGCTTCTCGATGAAAGAAGGAATGGCCTCAGGAATCAAGCCAAATTAATACGCAATAACCAACAAACGCTAAGGCAGTCCTAAAAAAGCGGTTGAGAACAACTCCTGGCAACTGAGGATACGAAACGGGAGCTCATCTTGTAAACCTTGCTATTGTGACCTAAAATTGACACGAAAACCTCCGCGACCAGAACCAAAGCGGACGCGCAAATTCTGCCGGCTCCCTACTCTAGAAGGAGAACGATTCACCTGTTCAGCCATGCCTGCCGCACGAAGCTGTTCCGGTTCTAGGGGAGGGGTAAGGCAGGTGTGCCAGAAAGAGGTGGAGAAAAGGAAACTAAGATGGGGGGCTTAGAGCGAATGTAGGAGGCGGTGCTGGGTGAGAGGGGGAGAGGAGGAAGCGGGAGGGGAAGTGAAGGCAATGTTGCTGTCGCAGGAAGGGGTGGCGTGGTGTGTGTTGCAACGCAATTGTTTATGTATAATGCGTATTGTGATCGCGTGTACCCTGCACAAGGTTGCATCGCTAGTTGACAGGGCGTCAACACTATATCGCGAATAGGCAAACTCCAATGCATGGTGGAGTACCACCGATTTGAATGGTCAGCATGCTGGCCCTTTATTGGAGCAGAGCTTTTTATTGAAGTGGCAGGTGTACATGAGCCCAATAGGTATGAAAGAAGACATCGGATCACGTCACAGCGGTTACAAATGATCTGACGAACTCCTCCAGAGACGCAGATGAACCCGAATCACACCACGCCATCTGGGACACAACTCAGTTATTGGCGATCTGACATTGGTTGAATTTGCAGCGACGTTCCGCGACATCTGCGATTCCTCCGTCCTGTCGCAGAATCATCGGTCGGCGGCATGTCTCGGGATTCCCAAATCGCGCTTCGCACCGCTCGCAACACAACCAATCCCCCGCCCTCTTCCCGCTTCTTCCCAGTGGCCCCCAGCATCCCCCAACGCTGCAACAGCCAGGGATTGGTTGGTTCCTCCCATAGGCCAGACCCCCACTTGCAGCTTTGGCTTCTTTCTTGTAGTATGGTCGAAAAAAAAGGTTTTGTACGTTGCGACACGGTAAATTACGGTATAGAGCAGCTCCTGCCAAACCAGGAGAGAAATTCAAGGCGGGAAGACTGATCCATTGGGATAGGGGGCCGCCATTTCAGCTCACACCCAGCTTGCGTATCAATCCCCATAACCACCATCTCTTCTCCATTTGCACATTCAAATTTCTCATTTCCACATTTCTTCCCACACATTCACCCCTATTTCCCCTCTTTTTTCACGTTCTCACCACATTTCCGACTGACTGGTCCTCTCTGAATCGCCTCTTCCGATGGCGGACGACGCGCCGTCGCTGCAGCAGCCGCTGACGGGGAACTCCGCGACGCCGCGAAAGAAGCGTCCATGGTCCATCGTGGATTTCCTGGTGCAGTTCCGCTGGATTCTCGTAATATTCGTCGTCCTGCCCGTCTCCTTCGCCTTCCAGTGCAACAAGGACTTCTGGGACTGGTGGTCGAACCGCAAGAGCTTCGCGCAGCGCGAGCGCGAGCATCAGGCCGCGGTGCAGAAGCTCGTGAATCGCCTCAAATCGCGCGACCGGCGCCGCGACGGGCTGGTGTGCACGTCGCGCAAGCCGTGGCTGTCCGTGTCGATGCGCAACTCCGACTACAAGCGCGCGCGGCGCTTCGAGGTCGACATGAACGAGTTCTGCCAGATCCTGGCCGTTGATACCGTGAACCGCATCGCGCGCTGCGAGCCGTACGTGAGCATGGGGCAGCTGAGCGCCGTGACCGTGCCGCTGGGATACGCGTTAGAAGTGGTCCCGGAACTGGATGATCTCACTGTCGGCGGGCTGATCAACGGCTACGGAATCGAGGGCTCGTCGCACATCTACGGCCTCTTCCAGGTGCCACCCCTCTCCGCCCCTTTCCGTCCCTCCGTCCTCTCTTGACCAATTTCTCCTGGCTCCCCTCACGCCGTTCCTCCCCTTCCGCCACTTCCGCGCTGGTGCCTTTTGAGCCGATTTCAAATACCCCTCTACCTCGCCCATTCCTCCTTTTCCGGAGAGTCCCCTTCACCCTCCCCCTCCCACCGCCCACCTCTTCCGTCGCTCCCCACTGCCGTTCGCCAACTCCCCGCAGGACACGGTGGAGGCGTACGAGATCGTGCTGGCGGACGGCACGCTGGTGCGCGCGACGCGCGACAACGAGCACGCGGATCTCTTCTACGCGATTCCGTGGTCGCAGGGCACGCTGGGGCTGCTCGTCGCGGCCGAAATCCGCCTCATCCCCGTTAAAGAGTTCATGCGCGTTACATACACGCCCGTTAGAGGCACCCTGCGCGAAATGACCCAGGCGTATATCGACTCGTTCTGCCCGCGCGACGGAGACCAGGATAACCCAGATAAGGTTCCGGATTTCGTGGAGGGGATGGTGTACACGCGGTCCGAGGGGGTGATGATGACCGGGAAGTACGCGTCGCGAGAGGAGGCGACGCGGCCCGGGAACGTGATTAACAACTGCGGGTGGTGGCGGAAGCGGTGGTTCTACCAGCACGCGACGGACGCGTTAACGCGCGGCGAGTTTGTCGAATACATCCCGACGCGCCAGTACTACCACCGCCACACTCGGAGCCTGTACTGGGAGGGGAAATTAATCCTGCCGTTCGGCGACCAATGGTGGTTCAGGGTGCTTCTGGGGTGGATGATGCCTCCTAAGGTGTCGTTCTTGAAACTCACGCAGGGCGAGGCGATTCGGAACTACTACCACGAGCGGCACGTGTGTCAGGACATGCTCGTGCCGCTCTACAAAGTGGCGGACGCGCTCGAACTCAACGAGCGGGAATTCGAGGTGCGGAGTGGGGGGGGAGAAGCGGGGAGGGCTGTAGAGCGGAAAGGTAAAGAGTTGGAAGAAAGGGAAAGGGGGGGGGTGGAAGGGGATTGCGGGGAAGTGTGTCAGGACATGCTCGTGCCGCCGTGTAAGGTGGAGGGCGCGCTCGAATTGAACGAGCAGGAATGCGAGGTGCGATTAGTGGGTGGGAGAGGGGAGGGGGAAAGATGTGGAAGGGTCGGCCGATAGAGTGGGCCAGGACGTGCGGATGTGCCGGTGACACCCCATGCGCCAAACAAACCAAACCTCCCCACCCCTCCTCCCTCCTCAATCCACACAAATCCCCTCCCCCTCCCCCAGGTGTACCCCATTTGGCTGTGTCCGCACCGCCTCTTCACGCACCCCATGCGGCAGATGATCAACCCTGAGCCGGGCTTCTTATGACCTGCGCCGAACACTCTTTCCCCCATTCTCCCCTCTCCTCCCCCACTCCCCCCTCCCCACCTCCCCCAGGTGTACCCTATCTGGTTGTGTCCGCACCGCCTCTTCACGCACCCCATGCGGCAGATGATCAACCCTGAGCCGGGCTTATTATGACCTGCGCCGAACACTCTTTCCCCCATTCTCCCCTCTCCTCCCCCACTCCCCCCTCCCCACCTCCCCCAGGTGTACCCTATCTGGTTGTGTCCGCACCGCCTTTTCACGCACCCCATGCGGCAGATGATCAACCCGGAGCCGGGCTTCTGGGACCACAGGCGGCAGGGCGACACAGCAAGGGCACAGATGTTCACAGACATAGGCCTCTACTATGCGCCAGGGGCTGTAATGCGTGGAGAGGAGTTTGACGGCGTGGCGGCGGTTCAGAGGATGGAGAAGTGGCTCATTGAGAACGCGTCCTTCCAGGTGGGCTTTGAGTGCACTCAGATGGCATCAGCAGCTTGTAGCAGGTGGGTCAATCCAGGTGGGTGCGTCACAGCAGCTTGTTGCAGCACAGCACAGGCGGCAGGGCGTCACGGCAGGTGCGCAGATGTTCACAGACATTGGTCTCTACTATGCGCCGGGTGCCACAATGCGAGGAGAGGAGTTTGATGGAGTAGCGGCGGTGCAGAGGATGGAGAAGTGGCTTATTGAGAACGCCTCCTTCCAGGTGTGTGGTGTTTGGTGGCAGCAGGGGCTTGTTTGAAGTGGCTTGGTGGCAGCGGCTTGTTCCAGGTGGGTTGGTAGCAGCACAGCACAGGCGGCAGGGCGACATGGCAGCAGCACAGATGTTCACAGACATAGGCCTCTTCTATGCGCCGGGGGCCGTAATGAGAGGGGAGGAGTTCGATGGAGTAGCGGCGGTTCAAAGGATGGAGAAATGGCTTATCGAAAACGCCTCTTTCCAGGTGCGTGGTGTTTGCTGGCAGCAGTGGCTTGTTTCGGCCGGTCCTGGGAGCACAGGCGGCAGGGCGACACGGCTAAGTTTGAAAAAACGCGTTTCGCGTTTTGTACGCTTTTGTATAAACGCTAGCGTCTAAACGCAAAACGCTGGCCGGGAGGGGTCTGGTACGCACAAGAATCCGCTTGCCCGGGCAGGAAAAAAAAATCCCCGGGCAGGTTAGATGCTTGACCAAGAGATGGAAACCGGAGCTGCTGTAGTAATCCATTACCTAACTGCTGCTGTAGTAGGTCATCGTCGAAGTGAAGAGGAAGAAATCGAACGCAAAGATTATTGAAGGGAAAAGCGGCCTGACATTGAGTGAGTCTGGTAGAAGTTGGCAACAAATTGGATGGGGTGAAGGTGGGTTGTGAGCGGTGGATAAGAGGGAATGATCCACCAACAATCTCGAAATTCAGATCTGAAGTTGCTTTAGCAACGCGCGAACTCAGATCTGAATTTCGAGACTCAAATTTGAGTTCGCCAGATCGCGAACTCATCTGATTTTTTTTTTCCGGTCAGCCCGAGCCAAATTTGGCGAATTTTAGAAAAATCCGCAGCGTACGAATTCTAGATGCGTATAAACTCAATACGCAACTTGAAACTAGCGTTTTTTCCAACTTAGCGACACGGCACATGCACAGATGTTCACAGACATCGGTCTCTTCTGGCGCATGTATGACGCGTCGCTGTACGGGGCATGTCGGGAGAAGTACGGATAAGTGGGATCGTTCATGAGCATGAGCGTGTCGTCCCTTCTCTCCACCATTGCCCCCTGCATCTCCCCGCTCTCCCCCTCTTCTCCCATCAGGCCCTGTATGCGGTGACAGAGCTGAACGAGCGGGACTTCTGGCGCATGTTTGACGCGTCCCTCTATGCTGCGTGCCGGGAGAAGTACCAAGCAGTGGGCATGTTCATGAGCGTGTATTACAAGTCAAAGAAGGGGCGCAAGACAGAGGCAGAGGTAATGCAGGAGGAGCGCAAGGAGAAGGAAGTTGCCATTGCGGAGTCTGCTTAGGGTGCTGGGGGCTGCTTAGGGTGCCGTGGTTACTGAGGTGTGGGTCGTGGTGGAGGTGTTGGGGTTGGGGACGGGATGCAGCGTATGCAAAGCAAGCAGTGGGCACGTTCATGGGCGTGTATTACAAGTCAAAGAAGGGGCGCAAGCAAGACAGAGGCTGAGGTGATGCAGGGAGGGCGCAAGGAGAAGGAAGTCCCTGTTGCTGAGGCTGTACAGGGTGCCTTGGCTGCTGAGGCGGGGGGGCGGTGGGGTGGGTGATGCAAGAAGAGTGTTGGGTGGGGTGGGTGGGGGGGTGGTGGGGTGGGAGATGGTGGAAGAGCGCAAGGAGAGGGAAACCCCAGTTCTCGATGTTGCATAGCATGCTGCATAGCATGCTGCATAGCGTGCTGCATAGCGTGCTGCATGCTGCTGAGTGATAAGGCTAGTGAGGGTGCGGTGGGATGCAACAGGAGCACAAGAGTAAGGAAGGGATACGGTAGCTCTGTCCTGGAGATTGCTATTCTGTACGGCTTATGTTAGGAGTGAAGTGAAGTTAAGGCTAGAGGATCTCTAAGCTTGAAGCCTCACCACGAGCTGCGGGTGGGTGTCAAGTGTGTGATGTGAAGGGGGATGCTGGTCTGTTGGGATTATCAATGGAAAGATGGAAGTTCAGTGCACTACGGTTCTTATGCACGTAAAGTGGAGGGGCAACTGCAGCACGATACGCAGGTCAATCGGTGGATGCCTTTTGAGGCGCCTCAGAAGTAGTAAATGAAAGTCTTTGGACTCAATGCAGTAGTTTCTGTCAGTGGGGGGAGGAGGAAGGAGTGATGTGACCAGTGTGCTCAAATGAGTACCTTCTTTACCAGCTGTATGTACATGGATAGGATAGTCTCTTCCAATCTACAGTACGATAAAATGATATACGTTAACGTCGGTTGAGGATGAGACACTCGAGCTGCGCTGAGAGTGAGAGGATGAAGCCAGGTGGAGGGGGGTTGGTCGCAAGACTAGGGTGAGTTGAGTTGAGGGGTTCAAGATGTGAGACCAGGTTAGGGATGGCTGAGGACGGGGCAGGGCAGGGAGCGGTGGGTGGAAGTTGGTCATGGTCCACACGAGCGCCCATTTGAGGTCGCACAGCAGGTACTCCGACAGAGCACGGCGGACCAACCACCGCCAGTTAGAGCGGGTCTAGTTGGAGGTCAGGCTGGGTCGAAGTGCGAAACTAGATTGAGGATGGCAGGTGGCGGCGTAGGGAGAGGAGGGTGGAAGTTGGTCATGGTCCACACGAGCGCCCATTTGAGGTCGCACAGCAGGTACTTGAGTGCCTTGGTCCACCTCTCCTCCCGGTTGAAGCTCTGCTTCACTGTCAGCCCTTGGATCTTGTCCCCCTCGATCCTGCATGGAGGAGGGGGACAGTGGGAGAAGGAGGTGAGGGGTAGGGAAAAAAGAAGAGGAGGAGGGGAGGGGGAAGAGTGGAAGGGGGGAGGTGCATTGGTGGATGAAGAAAGCATGGTCCATAGGAGGAGGGAGTGATTAATTGACTGAAGCAAAAGGGGAGCATAAAAGTGTTGGTTGGTTGTTGCCTAAGGAGATTTTTTTAGAGATTTGACACTCACTTGTAGGGCAGCTGGAAGGACTTTTCAGGCGGGAGGTGGTTGGCACGGTCGTGTGCATTGGCAAAGGCGGCAAACTCCGTGAGGGCGTGCAGGAGGAGCAGCATTGCCCGGTCGTAACGAGTGCTCCAAAACAGATTCACTGGGCCGAAGCTGGTGAGGGGGGGGGGGGAGGAAGGGGGAGGGAGCAAGTGGGTGCGGGGGCAGGGATCGAGGTTATATAGGCGCCTAAGAAGGAGCGAACTCCGTGAGGGGACTTTTGAGTCGACTCAGAAGGCGCCTAAGAAGAAGCGAACTCCGTGAGGGCGTGCAGGAGGAGCAGCATTGCCCGGTCGTAGCGCGTGCTCCAAAACAGATTCACTGGTCCGAAGCTGGTGAGGGGGAAGGGAGGAAGTGATGAAGCAGTTTGATTTGAGGATGAGGGAGTTATACACGAGTTCATACATGTCACACATGGTCATATACGAGTTTATGAGCGCTCCAGATTAAGAGACCAAAGCTGGTGATAGGGAAAGGAAGTGGGATGGCAGGTGTAATACGGTGTGGGGATGAGGGAGGGATGCTAGAGTTGATGTGTGTGCTATGATGCATGTGTGGCGTTGTATGTGTGCTATGATGCATGTGTGGCGTTGTATGTGTGCTATGATGCATGTGTGGCGTTGTATGTGTGCTATGATGCATGTGTGGCGTTGTATGTGTGCCATTCCAACAGCAGCAGCACAACAGAGCACATGGCAAGCGCGTGAGCTGAGCACATGGCAAGCACATGATCCGAGCACATGACAAGCACATGACCCGAGCACATGGCAAGCACAGGATCCGAGCACATGGCAAGCACGTACAGCTCAAACTGGTTGTGGCCGTCAGAGACTCGAGGAAAGCTGCCCATGGGGATAATGCGATGGCTGCCAGGGGCCAGGAGGCGAGGGGGATACACAGCAGGCGGAGAGGCACATGCAGATGGAGGCAGGAGACAGGGAAGATAGACGGAACGAATATGATTGAATCGCAGGGAAGAAGCGGGGGAAAGGGGTTGGGGGGGTGGCAGGGACTTGAAGGAAATGGCAGTGAGGTGGTGAGGTGGAAGGCGGGGAGGTGACGAGGTGACGAGGTGACGAGGACTAGAGTTGATGATTCTGTAATGCTAATGACAGGCCACAAACGGACTACAGACGACTGATAGTACGACAGGGGCAGGGCTGATAAGCAGCAGTAGGTGTTGAATTGCAGCGCTGTCGGGCGAACCCCACTGCTGGGAAATTTGTGGTGCTGGGCAGTGCGGGCCGTGAGAAAGCAGAGTAAAGAGCCCGGGGGTGGAGGGTGCATTACGCGACGGGGCAGGGACTTATTGAGAATTCTCAAAAACTCTGGGCCGTGAGAAAGCAGAGGAAAGAGCCTGTGGGTGGGTCGATTTTTGAGTCGACTAAAAAATCGGCTCATCACACCCTGTGGATGGAGGGTGCATTACGCGACGGGGCAGTTGGCAATGCGGGCGAGTGTGAAGAGCAGATGGCACGCCTGCCCCCATGCCGCGTTCAGCTCCTCCCACTCCACCTGCCGTGTGCACCAGGCAAGGGGAAGGGGAGAGGAAGGGCCGCAAAGAGGCAGGCAGGGGCAAGGGAGGGAGCGAGAACAGGAAGGGGGGACGGGGCGAGTGTGAAGAGCAGATGGCACGCCATGCCGCCATGCCTGCCCCCATGCCGCATTCAGCTCCTCCCACTCCACCTGCGGACCAGGCAGCGTGAGGAGGACATGAAGGGGCGATAGGGCGAACAGAGGGGGACGGCAGAGTGAAAAGGATAGATTCAAAGAGTGAAAGACCCTCCACTCCACATGCCGCGTTCAGCTCCTCCCACTCCACCTGCAGACCAGGCAGAGGGAGGAGGAGAGACAGGGCAACACAGCGAACAGATGGGGAGGGCAGAGTGACGTGGATAGATCCACAGAGTGAAACACCCTCCGCATGCCTCCAAGTCCACTAGAAAACGCTCACAGGCACAGGCGGCGCGGCAACGGCCCCTCACATTCACGGGAACAGAGGGAAGGCGGCCAAGGCGCAGGTTATTGATGGTGCAAGTCTCCATCGTGCCCGATGTGGAAGGCATCGTTGAGCACAGCACAGCACAGCAAACTCACGGGCACGGAGGGTAATCTCGCACCACACCACAAAACACCACACCACACTACACTCACGGGAACAGAGGGAAGGCGGCCAAGGCGCAGGTTATTGATGGTGCCAAAGTCCCCGTCGTGCCAGATGTGGAAGGCGTCGTTCAGCACAAAGCTGCGCCTCAATGCGTCTGACTGCGCTGCCGCTGCTTCTATGGATGCTAGCAAGCCGTCCCGTGCCTCCTGTGAAGGGCCACGAGAGGAACGGGGAGGGAGGGGTTGCGATTGGATGGAGGGACACAAGAGGCGCTGTCCCCACCATGCCAGATGTGGAAGGCGCCGTTGAGCACAAAGCTGTGCCTCAACGCATCTGACTGCGCTGCTGCTGCCGCCTCTATGGATGCCAGTAGACCTTACCTCGCCTCCTGTCATGGGGCATGGCACAAGGGTGGGTGGGTGGTGTGGAGGGGCAGCGGACGAGGGGGGGCCAGTTCGGATGCAGGCAGAGAGTAGAGTCCCCGTCGTGCCAGATGTGGAAGGCGCCGTCGAGCACAAAGCTGTGCCTCAACGCATCTGACTGCGCTGCTGCCGCCGCCTCTATGGATGCTAGTAGACCGTCCCTCGCCTCCTGGTGCACGGACACTTGGTACCATCACAATTTTTTCACAAGTTTTCACAATTTGTTTTTTTTATCTACAAAACACACTAACCTACTCAGGTGTCTTACCTAAATCTGCTGCCACGTTTTGAACCTTGGCTCCTAACTGGGGCTTGATTGGACCTCACCTGGTGCACAGACACTTGGTACTGAAACTCGTGACTTTTGAGTCGACTCAAAAGTCACCTCATTGGACCTCACCTGGTGCACAGACACTTGGTACTGAAACTCGTGACTTTTGAGTCGACTCAAAAGTCACCTCATTGGACCTCACCTGGTGCACAGACACTTGGTACTGAAACTCGTGACTTTTGAGTCGACTCAAAAGTCACCTCATTGGACCTCACCTGGTGCACAGACACTTGGTACTGAAACTCGTGACTTTTGAGTCGACTCAAAAGTCACCTCATTGGACCTCACCTGGTGCACAGACACTTTGTACTGAAACTCGTTGAACTCGTGCCAGTACCTGCCACAGGGAAAAGAGGGATACGGAAGGAGCGCAAAGGCGGAAGGTTGAGCTGGGCTGTGTGGGTCAGCTTGTCACGTGGCTGCCAAAGCTAATCCCTTCCCTCGTGCTGGATAATAACGTGCCACGTGGGGCAAAACCGCTAATCCCTTTCCCCATGCCTGACAGCCCACCTGTTTGGTACTGACAGCATCCCTATCCCCATGCAGGACAACAATGTGCCACACAGGGCACAACTGCTGATCCCCTTCCCCCCACCTTCCTTCCCCGCTCGTTTCCCCCACTCCACCCCTCTCCTCCACTACCCCTACCACCCTCCCCCTTTCCCCTTCCGCCAGCACCTCTCCTCAGCGGCGTTCAGCTCAGCCTGCTCCGCCTCCACCTCCCCCAGTTGCACCCTCAGGTGAATCACAACACTCCCGCCTCTACCACCCCTAGCCTACCCTACCCTCCCCTCCCACCCTTCTCCACTACCCCTACTGCCCTTGGTTCCCCCCCGCACCTCTCCTCAGCGGCGTTCAGCTCAGCCTGCTCCGCCTCCACCTCCCCCAGTTGCGCCCTCAGCTGTGTTTTAAGTCGACTCAAAACATTCCTCCTCTTCCCCCCCTACCCTACCCTACCCTACCCTACCCTACCTTACCCTACCCTACCCTACCCTACCCTTCGCACCTCTCCTCAGCGGCATCAAGCTCTGCCTGCTCCGCCTCCACCTCCCCCAGTTGCGCCCGCAGCTGCGTCCTCTGCTGCTCCAGCTCCTCCGCCTCCTGCTGCAGCCGCCTCTCCTCCTCTTCCACCTGTTGCCATGCCGTAAGACAGAGGAGATGGGATGGTGGTGGCAAGGCACATATGCCATCCCATGGCATGGGATAGGATGATGAGATGAACACGACGCGTGGCAGGCCAAGAAAAAGCCCCAACCCCAACTGCTCACCTCGGCCATGTGCTGCCTGAATGTGCCCTCCCCCATTGGAGACCCAGCAGCAGTGGGCGTGAAGAAAGGACTCGCATGGTTGACTGGGAAGGGGTGGTGTGCGGCGGCCGAGGGGGAGGGGGCGGAGGCAAGGATGGATTGCAGTGCTGCTTCGTACGCGGCTATTTCTTCCTCTGCCTCCCTCACCTGCACACATGCATGCAGGCATGGAGGGAGGGAGGGATGGACACGTGGAGGGATAAGCTAATGGAAAGATGCAAAAGAACATCGGTATGCCCAAACACAACGATGGATGGATGGATCCACCTTGGTCCTCAGAGCCACCGGGTCAAACACCGCCTCTATCTGCCCCGCCAGAAAGCCCCACCTCATTCCACCGCAACACACCACGTCTCACCCCACCGTACCCCACCCCACCCCTCCGCACCACACACAATCGCACCGTACCCCACCACCCTGCACCGCACTCCACCGCACCGCACCTGAGCATCGATTTCGCGACAAACGTGGTGGGCGCAGTGGCAGCAGAGGGGCATCTCCACCTTGGTCCTCAGAGCCACCAGGTCAAACACTCGATCCACCGCCTCTATCTGCCCCGCCAGGCCACCCCCCCCTGCCTGCACCTCCCTTGCCCCCCTCTCACTGCCTCTCTCTTTGACTTGCTGCTGCTGCTGCTGCTGTTTCTGTTGTTGTTCTTGCTGCTGCTGTTGCTGCTCACCACTTTCGCTATCGTCACCCTCAGCATCATTTTGATCCTCCTCTCTATCGCCTCCTCTCTCCGGCCCTCCTATTATACCATCCCCTCTTTCACCCTCCCGCTCCTCGCTCTCTCTCCTTTCCTCCTCCACGTTTCCCCTCCTTTCTTTTTCCTCACTCCCTCCTCTCCCTCTCCCCGCATCAGCAACAAACCCTTTTGAACCGATTCCCACCGTCACATTCTCAGGCAGCACCTGTTCTGAACCTGTGCCCTCGCCTCGGTAGCATTGAGAGACAGAGGACGGAGCAGCAGCACCAGCAGCACCAGCACCACCAGCAGCACCAGCAGCACCAGCAGAACCAGCAGCACCAGCAGCACCAGCAGCACCAGCAGCACCAGCAGCACCAGCACCAGCACCAGCACCAGCAGCAGCAGCAGCAGCACCAGCAGCACCAGCAGCACCAGCAGCACCAGCAGCACCAGCACCACCAGCAGCACCAGCAGCACCAGCAGCACCAGCAGCACCAGCAGCACCAGCAGCACCAGCAGCACCAGCAGCACCAGCAGCACCAGCAGCACCAGCAGCACCAGCAGCACCAGCAGCACCAGCAGCACCAGCAGCAGAACCAGCACCACCACCACCACCACCACCAGCAGCACCACCACCAGCAGCTGCTGCTGCAGTCACGGCTACGGCTGCTGCCACCCCTCCTTGTGACAACAAGGGAGATGCAGAACTCGCAGAGACGCCAGGGCGAGCGGCACCAGCAGCGGTGGCAGCAGCAGCGGGTGAGGAAGGAGGGATAGCAGCAGGCGCAGGTGCGTTAGCAGCAGCACCGGACATGGTGGGGGGTAGGGGGAAGGGGTGGGTGTGGGGAGAGGGGCGGGCGTGCGAGGAGGAGGAGGAGGGCGCGTGGGGGAGGGCAGGAGGAGGGGCGTAGAGAGAAGCAGCCGAGCCGGGTAGCACCACAAAAGACTCGTCCAGACGGGCGGGGGGCGCTGGAGGGGCGGAACGGGGGAAGCGAGAGGGAGGAGCAAAGGAGAGGTAGGCGAGAACACAAGGCGTGTAAGAGGCAGAGGTGATGGGTACTACCAAAAGCAGCCGAGCCAGGTAGCACCACGAACGACTCGTCCAGACGCGCGGGGGGCGCTGATGGGCGCAGGGGAGGAGCGCAGGGGAGACAAGTAGAGATGGGAGGTAGGTGAGAAGCAAGGGAGCGAAACAGAGAGCAGTGATGAGAATTACCACAAGAGCAACAGGTGCGGCACAACATGAAACACAGACGAAGTACAATTCCGCGTGTCTTCACCTGCACTCACGTCACAGTGAGAGTCTCAGACCCTATTATATGCCGTAAACACTCTCTTCGGTAAGAGTCTCACCCCTGCGACCCAACGGCGACTGGAAGGCGGCGTGTGATGGGAAGGCCACGTGTCCACCAACGGTTGGCGGATGCGTGGCTCTGATTGGTGGCGGCTGATGCTGCTGCGGATGAAGCTGAGATTGAACCTGAAGTTGAGACCAACTCTGAGACTGAATCTCAGCCGTTGATGACCTCTGCTGGGGATGCTCTTGGGTCTGATCCTGCGGCTGAGGCTGCTGCTCTTCTGGGATGGACGATGGGTTTGATGCACCAGCTGAGCCCGCAGCGGGAGAGACGGCGACAGACGCGGCAGGAACAGCACCAGAACTCGCGGTAACGGGACTGCCTGTAGGGGGACGTGGAATCAACGGCGGAGCACTGATCGCGGGATTAATTGACGGTCGGATCGCCCCACCAGCGGCTCCATGACGAGGCGCGTGAGGGGTGCCGTAAGACGCGCCGTGAAACGCGGAGGAGTTGGGCGGCAGGACGACGAACGACTGATCCAGCATTGACACGGAATTCGCGGCGGCGTGCTGCGCGCCGCATCGCGACGCGCCCAGCGCGTCCGCCGCTGATTGGCTGAGCGAGGACGCGCCGAGCGCGAGGCCGTCGAGCCCGGTGACCTCGAGCCGCGTGCCGCACCTCTGACACAGCCACCGCGGCGACGGCGCCGCGGATGCCGCCATGTATCAAATCCCAAGACTAAATTCGACCGCACGGAATCGCACTGAACCGTGTCAGTGAGCTAAAGCAGGTGGGACTGAATCAGACTGAATCGGCCGACTAGGAGCAGCTACCGGGTCAGAGAGCTAGAGCCTTGGAGTTGACGAGCGCGTCGCGCGAGGCCGTCGAGACCTGAAGAGTCGAGAGCGCCGACAAGACGGGCCATGGAGCAGGGAAGAGCTGAAAGAGTCTAGGGGTTAACGAGGTTGACGTTGTGGAAGGACGACGAGGCTCCACCGGGATTGCCGATTAGGAGACAATCTAACAGACGACTGCAACGCGCCTGGGAGGGTCGCTGAGACTGGCGCGACGCACCGCGCATTCTAAAACCGCAAGCATGCGTGAAAGGTTTCGAAGCTGACCTGCTTGTTGTGCGCTCACTGCCCACTACTGTATACTCACGATCAACTGCACACAGGACTCGCTCTCTACAGTATCTACTCACTCGGCAATGCTTTGTATGCGTTGCTGCTGTCAGTCATCAGTCCTGCAATTCCCGAATCAGGCGGGTCCTGTCTGGTCTGGGGAGTTGCCAGACATCCTGCGATAGAATGTTGCTCGCTTCGACGAGAGGGGATTGGGTCCAAACGTAAAATACAATGCACTTTGTACTATAGAAGACATATACTAATATATAAATACAGAGGAGGGAGGTGCTAGGTTTCCTCCTTCGAATAGATGATCCAAAAATCTATCGGCATATACATCCTTAACAGAAAAATATTGACATAACGAGAATCGCTAAAAACGTGTACAGGTCATTCCTTCTTTGTAGTATATTCATCGTTCCTTTACTCGGAGGCCAGAACGGGACGACAGGCGGTGCAGAGTTGCTCACAGCTGCAAATCCTGGCATTCCCGCATCTCTGACAGCAGGTGTAGTAGGAATGTTACTATTTGAAGGATTTGTCTCCATTGGCGACTGAGGATTTGAGCCAACCGCAGTTGGTACGATCGGCACTGCAAGCGGTGCTCGGGTCGCAGAAGTAGGAGTATCCGGCGCAGCAGGGTTCGATCTAGGAATATGATTAGGAGTGGGGGTGGGAGATGCGAGGGGAGGTCTAGCAGGCACTGGTTGGGGGGTGGGAGGGGCAAGAGGGGTGGGCGCTACTTTGGGCAGAGAGGCGGGTGTGGGGGTTGGGGAGGATGAGGGAGCAGGGGCAGGCGGGTTGGGCGACAGGGCAGGCGGGACTACAGGTGTGACAGGAAGGGGTGCTGATGCTGGCGCTACCGTGGGCGGTGGCAGTGGCGTTGGGATTGATGTTGGTATTCGTGTAGGTGGTGGTAATGATGCGGGGTGCCGCTGGCGTTTGGGGAGGGACCACAAGCGCTGGCAGATGGGAATGAGCGGGTGCAGAGGGGGCTCGTAAGGATGGGGTAGCGATGGGAGGAAGCAGCTTGGGGCGAGGATCTGGCAAGAGAGGAGGAGGTAGAGGTGGGAGCGGAGCCTGGGGAGGTGAAAAAAAGAAACAAAGAAGAGAAAAAAAAAACAGGGAAAAATGGGAAAGAGAGGGTAAAGTTTAAGAAGAGCACGGTTTTCAGAATGAACTCATGATCGTGCTCTTGCTCATGCTGATGCTGATAATCAGACGACGCAAGAGTCATATGAAGCATATGAACTGCCAAAGCACTGCCACGTTTGATAATGGAGGAGGAGGAGGAGCGTGCATGGGCACGGGACTCACAGAAACAGGGGGCAGATTAGCCGGGGCAGATGGCACGGTGTCAGAGGCTGGTTGCTTCTCCACTGGATTTGCTACTGTAGGCCCTCTGCTCCCACCCGTCACATTGCCGTCCGTGATATTCCCATTCGTCTCATTGCCACGTCTCACATTCCCATGTGTCATATCCCCATGTGTCACATTCCCATTCGTCCCATTTCCAGTGCTGCCACCACCGCCACCACCATCATCACCATCACCACCATCACTACCCTCACCACTGCCACCACCAGCAGCACCACCGCTGCCACGGCCACCATCACCACTACTACCATTCGACCCACTGCTTCCATTCCGCCAGTCTCCCCCACCCCCACTGCTTCCATTCCGCCAGTCTCCCCCACCCCCACTGCTCCTCCCCCCGGGCTCGTACGGGTGCTCAGGGTCTCGCCCCTTCATCCTCTTGATCCCCGAACCTGACGAGCCATCTGCCTCGGAAGGAATCGGCTCAGGTTCGGATGAACTGCCTCTTGGCTCGGAGGAACCACCCGCAGGCTTTGAAACGCCAGGCTCGGGATCAGAATGGCTCGGTTCAGGCTCGGAGGTGTTTTGTCCAGGCTTGAACGACTTGGGACCGGATTCAGCAGCAGGTTCGGACGGGTGATTTGCGGGTTTAGACCCAGTGTTTGGGCTTTTACTACCCGTTTTGTTGGGAAGAGGCTCTGAGGCGGGTGGAGGGAGGTCAGATGCTGGTGGCTTCTTTGACGGGACATGCTTATAGGGAGGATGCTTGGGAGTCTCCTTCTTTTCATGGGACTTGTGAGGGGAACGGCTTTTTGAAACAGAGGGCTTGGCAGCAGGGAGCTTGGCAGGCGAATCGGAAGTGTGGTTGGGTTTAGAGGCGGCGGGAAGCTTAGATGGGGAAGGAGGGGGAAGGGGCACTGATGGCAGGGAGGGAGCAGCAGGGGAGGGAAGAGAGGGCGCAGCCGGGGGGGCCTTGACTGGGGAAGGCTTTGATGGGGAGGATGATGGCTGGGGGGGGGGGGCTTGGACGGGGGAGCTTTGGATGGGGGTGCCTTGGAGGGCGGGGCTTTGGACGGGGGTGCTTTGGCGGAAGTGTTTTTGGAAGGAGGAGACACAGAAGGAGGAGGTTTGGAGGGAGGGGCTTTGGTGGGAGGGGATTTGGTGGGAGACGTTTTGGAGGGTGGTGACTTTGATTTCGTTGCATTGACGGACGGTGCCCCCCTCTCCTTTCGTGGGTGCTGCGAGGGCTTGCGAGGGGACGAGTTGGATGGCACAGGGGAGGGGGTGGGGGGTGATTTGAGAGGCGGAGGCGAGGGCTTGGAGGGAGGTGCGGTGGCGAGGGGAGGGGTGGAGGGCGTGCGGGCGGGGGACGTGGGTACGGCTGGGCTGGCTGATGCTTCTCTGTGGATGGGGTGCGGTGGGGTGGGGTGGGGTGTGGTGGAGTGGGATGGGGTGGGACGGTGTGGGATGGGAGGATAATGAAGGCAGGGAGAGGGGGAAGAGAGAAGGCGCGACTTGGGAATGAGTGAAGAGCGGACACTGAACAGAGCTGGAGCACTGCCAGTCTCCATTAAATTCACGTGCCTCTACATTTGAGACGTCTCAAAACTCTTTCGAGACGCCTCAAAGCTCTTTCGAGATGTCTCATAACTTTGAGACTTCTCAAAACTAAACAGAGCTGGAGCACAGCAACCTTCACTAAATCCCTGTGCCTCCCCTTCACTCACACACCCATCCTTTGCAGTTCCCTGGCACCGCACAGCACCGCCCCCCATCTCACTTGAGCATGGTCTTGACTTGTGGTGTGAAGCACGCCGACCATGCCTTGTAGCCCGCAGCTGAGAGGTGCAGGTAGCGGAAGGAGTCCTGTGGGGGAAGGGCACACAGAGCAGACAAGAAGGAGGGGAAAGGGGGGTGGGGGTAGGGTGTTCAAGCCTTGTATCCCGCAGAAGGAGTCCTGTGGGGGAAGGGCACACAGAGCAGACAAGAAGGAGGGGAAAGGGGGGTGGGGGTAGGGTGTTCAAGCCTTGTATCCCGCAGAAGGAGTCCTGTGGGGGGCACAGAGTGCCGCGGCACAAGAGGGCGGAGGAGGGGCGGGGATGGGAGGCGGGTGGTGGCCTGAGCATGGCCGACATAAACGGCAGAAGAGCATACCATGCCTTGCGACTTGCAGGTGAGAGAGGAGGTAGCAGAAGGGGTGCTGTGGGGAAGGGGTGCTGTGGGGAAGGGGTGCTGCGGGGAAGGGTAGCTGCGGGGAAGGGGTGCTGCGGGGAAGGGGTGCTGCGGGGAAGGGGTGCTGCGGGGAAGGGGTGCTGCGGGGAAGGGGTGCTGCGGGGAAGGGGTGCTGCGGGGAAGGGTAGCTGCGGGGAAGGGGTGCTGCGGGGAAGGGGTGCTGCGGGGAAGGGGTGCTGCGGGGAAGGGTAGCTGCGGGGAAGGGGTGCTGCGGGGAAGGGGTGCTGCGGGGAAGGGGTGCTGCGGGGAAGGGGTGCTGCGGGGAAGGGGTGCTGCGGGGAAGGGGTGCTGCGGGGAAGGGGTGCTGCGGGGAGGCATGCAGTGCAGTAGGGAGGGGTGGGCATGGGGAGAGTGGCGGGTGCTCATCTGCCGCAAGAGGAACTCAAGCTCGCAACTCACAGGTGCGTAGGCTGCTGCATTGATGGAGCCCCCCGGTGCATTCCCGGTTCATTGAGGTGATTTTGGAGGCGCCTCAAAAATCAACTTTTTGAGGCGCCTCGAAAATCACCTAAAAAAACACCTCAATGTTTTGAGGCGCCTCGAAAATCACCTAAAAAAACACCTCAATGTTTTGAGGCGCCTCGAAAATCACCTAAAAAAACACCTCAATGTTTTGAGGCGCCTCGAAAATCACCTAAAAAAACACCTCAATGTTTTGAGGCGCCTCAAAAATCACCTCAATGCTCGCAGCGCAACTCACAGGTGCGTAGGCTGCTGCATTGATGGAGCCCCCCGGATTGGTGAAGGCAGATGAGCAGTCGAGGAACGACACCCCGTCCACTGTGGGGGACAGCGATGGAGCGAGTGGGGAACAGGAGGGAGAGGAGGGGAGCAGGGGAGGAGGGGAGTAGGGGAGGAGGGAAGATGAATGAGAAGAGGGTGACAAGAAGGAGACTGCAGTTATGAGGAGTCGAGGAACAACACCCCGTCCAGTGCAGGGGGGTAACGACGGAGGGAAAGGGGCAACATGAGAGAGAGGACGAGAGATGAAGGGAGTGAGAAGAGAGGGATGGGCAGAGGATACTGTTCTGATGCTGGCCATGTTCTGAGGCACCGCACATCTCCTGCCTGCCCCACGCAATTTGAAGAGCAGCTTGCAGCGGGTCTATTTGCAATGCTGCCAGCCACGAATCAGCGAGTGCCACGTCATACCCAAGTCTGTACCTGGTTTGAGAGTGGAGGCGAGGATGACGTTCACTTGAGCAGGCACAGGGTCAGGCAGTGACACGTTCTTGCTCATGGCCGCCTGAAACGGTGGGTCAGATGAAAACAACAGATGAGCGACGATCGGTCAAAAGAAAACCACAGCAGATGTTTCACTCATCATGACTCATGGTAGACTCATGATATGATGACACACGGAAAGTAATGGGAGAACGGGCATCAACGGCGTAACACGTTGCTCATTTCTTAGGCGCCTCAAAACTGACGTGATGACACACAGAAAGTTATGGGAGAACGCAGCATCGGCGTAACATCACTCATGATCCATAAACAGAGGCACCAGTGCGGTGCTCTCACCTCGGGTAGCAGTCCCAGCACGGTGGTCTCACCTCGGGCAGCAGTCCCAGCACGGTGGTCTCACCTCGGGTAGCAGTCCCAGCACGAGCACGGAGGTGGAGGGGTGTGCCTTGCGCACACTGATCGCCAGCGATGCCACCTGGACGCGGGTGGGATGGTTGGGGAGGGACGGAGGGGGAGTGATGCACGGGGAGGGATGGAGGGTGGGAGATGCACGGGGAGGGATGGAGGGTGGGAGATGCACGGGGAGGGATGGAGGGTGGGAGATGCACGGGGAGGGATGGAGGGTGGGAGATGCACGGGGAGGGATGGAGGGGGAGGGAAGGAAACGATGGGCGAGGCAGGAATGTGAGGGGAGATGGAGAAGACGTGTGGCTGCATGCGTACCTTGGAGGCCATGGTGGCGGCGCTGGTTCTCCCCTGCAGCACGTCGTTGATCCCCGCACACACCACCGCCACGCGCAGCTGCAGCGATGGGGGGAACTCGCCGCCCTGCATGTGAAGTGGAGAGGAGGAGTAGTAGGAGATTTAGAAGCATGGGAGGCGACTTTTGAGTCGACTCGGATACTGCAGCACGTCGTTGATCCCCACACACACCACTGCTACTCGCAGCTGCAGCGATGGGGGGAACTCGCCGCCCTGCCATTTGATTGGCGGGGAGGAGGAGAAGGAAGAGAAGATTTAGAAGACTTAAGCAGGAGAAGGAGAAGGAGGAGGAGAGGGGAAGGAGAGGAGAAGGGGGAGGAGAGGGGAAGGAGAGGAGAAGGGGGAGGAGAGGGGAAGGAGAGGAGAAGGGGGAGGAGAGGGGAAGGAGAGGAGAAGGGGGAGGAGAGGGGAAGGAGAGGAGAAGGGGGAGGAGAGGGGAAGGAGAGGAGAAGGGGGAGGAGAGGGGAAGGAGAGGAGAAGGGGGAGGAGAGGGGAAGGAGAGGAGAAGGGGGAGGAGAGG